AGCTGTCACTTGATTCCACCCTCCCCCATTCAAACTTTCACTTAATCACCTGTCTCTCCACAATCCACCCCAATACATACCAGCCACGTATCTGTCCATCTCTTCTCCAATCTAACCCACACAGCTATGCCTCAGTCCATCCACCCTGTCCACCTCCATCCACTGAACCCAGAGTAGCATCACCAAGTCCCCCAGTGTTCCAAAGCAACAAGGGCAATTTGGATCTTCCCATGACCTCGACTGCCCTAAAGGAATCTGCCTATGGGCTCAGCCAGCCTCCCCAGTGCCTCAACCATTGGTCCAGGCCTGCTCCAGGGACAGATAAAGCTCTGCTGCAGGCATTGTGAGTAGACTGGACCAATGTCCTAGCAACAGCTTTGGCCAGTCTGGGCCAGCCTGGCAAGTGTGGTGGCCATGGGCCAGGAACGCTCATTGGGAGATGGCCCACACACCTGCTCAGGGGCCCTGTGACCAGAGCCACCAGTCAGGGTGAGCACATTCCTTGGCAAGACCCCAACATTGTGGGTGTCCTGTCCTTGTCTCCAAGGGTCACTGCCCGGAGGAGGCGTCCTCAGGAAAGGAGGGGGAGGGGAAGAAAAATGCCAGTGCTCCTGGAGCTCTTCTCCCCGGGTATGCATGGCTCGCTCTGCCTCCTTCCCACTCCCATATTCCATCCTGGACTACCAGACTCTGGTACCAGACTCTAAAGGGCTCTGGAGAGCTACAGGAACAGACCCTGTCTAAGCTGAATTTGGTTGATGGCATGGGCGGTGGGAGGGGGTGCAGATCTCTGGGACACTAGAGGCCCCGCACTTCCCAGCCCCAGGCTCCCATGCCACACGAGATATTTTCCAAATGGGGCTGGGAGCAAGGCCCCCAGACAATGGTCCTGCTAGCAGGATTGGAGGAGAAAACAGAACACAAGGAGCTAGACTGGGGGTACATATCTGCTCCTCTCATCCATCCACCTCATGGATAAGGCCTGGGGAGCTCAGCATCTGCGACAGCACCTATCTGGTCCCCCACAGTTCTGGAAAACTCCATTTTGCATGCTTTCTATTCCTTTTGTTTCAATTCACCTGGCTGCTGGAGTGCCACCCCAAAGACCCCTTGTGATATAACGTCGGGACTCAAATTGGAGCCTGTTTTTTAAATATTAGAACAGAGGCAGTGGACAGCCTCGCTGTCCACAGGGACGAGGGGGCCCAGCCAGGCTGGCCTCCAGGGTGTCAGGCCCTGGGAACAGGCTCATGGGGATTGGATGGATTTTTCCTCTTCTCCTTTTTTTTTTTTTTAACTCCCCAAAAGGAGTTGGAGCGAGTGTTGGTTCGTTTCCTGTGACGGGTTTTCCTCAGCGCTGTGGGACTCGTGGCATGCCGTCCCCGTTGTGTGTCCCCTGATGTGTTTGTTTGACCTGGGTGCTGTAAGACGTCATGATTCAGGTCACGTCCGTTATCTGTGTCGTGTAATAAAGCCAACGTTTGCCATCACAGGGCTGTGCCTCTCCTTGGTTCCCAGTGACCGCGGGGAGCCATGTCTGATGGGGGGGGCTTTCTCAGTGCCAAGCAAGAGACAAGGCCCTGCCCCATGGGGGTGGTGAACAAACGGGTGACGTAAGTTGGGGTGTGAATGGGAATGGACCCCCGGCGCAGTTCACCCACAGCCTCCTGTGCTCTTGCCACGTGGGTGAACTTTCAAAAGCTGTGTCCTTAAGGTGCTCTGGATGACCTTGGGCCCCAGCTGACACCCATGGCTTGTGGCTGTGCAGGGCATGTCCCACAAGACCCTAAAGGAGGACACTGAGGGAAGGGACACTTTGACCCCAAGGAGCCAGGGTGTCACAGCCAGGGTGTCCTGGCTCCCAGGGCAGGTCCTAGCCAGATTTGGATGCCCAGAACTTGGCATTCCTGGTGTGCTGGCAGCCCCTGGGAGGAAGGGGTGTTATTAATACTTGGGCTCCGGCTTGGAACATGATGTATTTGAAAGGCGTCATTGGAAAGGCCAGCATGGGGGCAAGTCTGTCCCCACGCCAGGCCTCTGGCAGGAGCCCCAGCTGGGCCTGATGTGTCAGCAATCCCAGCAGAGAGCAGGCTGACAGCGTTTTTCCATTGCAGAGATCTGAGCTCAGACGGAGGCTGGTGGCGGGGGCGGGGGGTCGGCCTGAGTCCAACCGGCTCTTGGCTTGGACACAGCCACCGTGGTGTTCTGCCTCCCACATGGAAGTGGAGGGAAGCGCCCAGGCCAGAGGCCCTCCATGGGGCCTCCAACCCCCAGGAGGCAGAGAGCCTGGGGCCGAGGCCCTGTCCTCAGTGCAGACATGCATGCTGCCCTTGAGGCACCGTGACCTGCCAGGGGAGACCAAGGGGGAGTCCTGGCGGAAGGAGGAGCAATCAGGGAGGCTTCCTGGAAACAGCGGTGCAGTGCATGTGGCTGTGTGGACTCGGGAGCGAGGGGGTGTGGCCGGCAAGAAGCGCGGTGCTTGAGGAGGCGCGGCAGCCGCTAGGGGCCGAGAGATTCCTCCGGGGCGGTGAGAGAGCAGAGCCGGGAGACCTGGGAAGAGGGCCTGGGCCCGAGGGTAGAGCAGCCTCGCCAGGCGCTCCCACACCCTCCACCCAGCTGGGAAAGATTGCCCGGGGCCAGGGCCCTCAGGACGGCTCCGTGTAAGATGCAGCTCCCCCCAGTCCCAAGTCCCCAGGAAAGCAACCCCAACAGGCCCAGTGTGGACCTACCAGCTATGGCTTGGAGTGGGGGGCTCTGGGCCGGGGTGGGCAGACGTGCCCAGAGGGGGCCCCCATAAACACGGAGCAGGAGCTCCCCCGAGGCTGAGCCAGGCTGAGGCCAGCCAGAGCAGCCGCTCCAGCGAGGACAGATGGAGGCCAGGGCACATGGGGACACAGGCCCACGGCTGCCCTCCAGGGGCGAGAAGTGAGGGGCAGAGACTTACAAGAGTCCATCACAGATCTGCACCTGATTGTACGTTTGTGACCTGTAGTCAGGGAGTCAGGGCAGGACTCCGGCTCCCACCTGCCCTGGTCCAGAACAAGGGTGGGGGAGGGGAGTGTCCACGGGCAATGGACAGGGGTGTCAAGAGCGGGGATGGGGCCCTACCCTGCCCAGACCACGGGCCTCTGACCTCCTGTGGCACACACCCTGCCCTCACCCCTCCAGGCCTTCGCTCACACTGATCCCTCCACCCACGCCGTCCTCGCCCCAGCCTGCCTGACCAGTCCCTCTAGGGCAGCCCCAACGCCGTCTCCTCCAGGAGGCCTGTCCTCACCCTGCTTGTGCACACTTGGGGAATTCACTTCTGCCCGTGTCATCCTACCCGTGGCCTGCCACTGGAGGTGTGACCCTGAGCAGGTGTCGTGGCGAGCGTGGCGGAACTCATGCAGGAGGAGACCGTGCCTGGCCCTGCCTCCGCGCCAGTCCTCTCTGCACCTCAAGGGTCCTGCGGGAGGAAGAAGGGGCAGGGCCCAGAAGCTGGGGCTGGAAGTCAGCCCCGTGGACTCTCGAGGGAGCACCTGGCCTGGGGAGGAGCTTAAAACCCTGGGGGAGGGACGGGTGTGGAGGTGAGCAAGGGAGGCTGCCTTCCCCCCATCCGCCCACCCACCGAACCACCGATGTGGCATGTGGCCGTTCCTCAGCCACACTCTCTTCCCACCCCCTACCGAGGCCTGGCTGCAAAGCGTTTCCCCAGACCCTGAGGCCCAGGGCTGGGGGGCCTGGAGCAGGGACCCGGAGGCCCTGGGCTGAGGGGCCTGGAGCAGGGCCGAGAAGCCCCCTCTGGGGCCAGGGGGTGGGGACAGGAAGTAGGAAGAGCCAGGGGAAGCAGAGGAAGACCAGGAAGATGAAGATGCAGGCTTCCTCCTGTCTCTCTTGGAGGGGGAGGACCTAGCTAAGTACCGGGTGCCTGACCAGGTAACACCCACGTGGAGCCCAGCGGAGGCCGGCCAGGGACCCCAGAAACTCATGCGTGGGTTCAGGGGGACCGATGGCTGCAGCCCTGACCCTTTTCCAGGCCACTGTCCCTGGCCTGAAAGAGGGTCGTGGGTATGCCCACCCCTGCAAGGCTGGGGAGGATGGCAGGGCCCCAGTCCACACGGCCTTCCTGCTCCCTCCAGCATGTCCCCCTGGAGCCAGTGACCCCGAGGACAGACAGGGTCAGGCCTGTTCCCCTCTGCCCTCCCTCGAGAGGAGCCTAGGGGCCATCCTGCCTCGGGGTCCACCCGGGGCCATGCTGGCAGAAGCTGGAGGCCATCAAACTGAAGCCGTGGGCCATGGAGCAGGCCCAAGGGCCGGAGACGCCGGGGCGCAGGGCCAAGCCGCGGAGGAGGAGGGCGCAGGCACCGCACTGAGCCCCGGGGCAGGTAGGAGCCAGCAGGCCAGGCCGACCCCTTCCCTGGTGGGTGGGCCACGAGTCCTGGGCACATGGCTCCGAGCCCCCTTCCCTGTTGGTACATCTGGGTGGGTGGGCTGCAGCTGCTGTAGGCATAGGGCCAGCCCACAGGGAGAGTCTGGGGTCTCCATGCGTCGGGCCTGGCCAGGGCAGGTGTGCTAGCCCTTCCAGAACAGTCCCTGGGGGTGACCTTCTTCCCCAAGGAGTGAGGAATAAGCCACAAATGTGAGGTGCCTACCCTTAGCAGCTGCCGGGAGCCCCCCGCCTGTGGTGAGACCCGTCCCGAGGACCCCCTCTCTGTAGGTTGCCCCTCTGCCCTGGGACCCCCATGGAGAAGGTGGAGTCGGACCACAGATCCGTCTATGTGGGCAATGTGAGTCCAGGAGGGGGCAAGATGGGGCCCCTGCAGTGGGCACCCAGGGTCGGCCACCTCCTCCTGGCTTTGAGGATTAAAGAAAGGGACACAGGCCCAGGAGGGGAGAAGCCAGAGGACACGACCTGACTGGGGGGTGTGCTGCCCCAGGAGGGAACGTGGGCCCCGTGCCCTCAGGCATTCTGGTTTCCTGACGGGAGCTGGGATTCAGCATTGCCATGGGAATCTCCCGTTGGCCAATCACCCTGGCCACAAATCCCACTTTAAAAAGCCACCTGTTGTCTGAACAGGCCAGATGAACTCAGGGGGTCATCGCACACATGGAGGGCGGACGTCTCTGTCTGCCGTCCACCCCCAGCAGGGGTGGGGGACCGAGGCAGTGGCTACTAACTCCACCCTGAGGTCCAATCAACCTCTCTACCGAGAAAACATGCTGTGGGAGCCCCCGGGAGGGCGAGGCCTCTGCCGGAGGCCCCCCACCACCAGGGGCCCGTGCCTGTGGCAGGTGGACTGCGGGGGCACAGCAGAGCATCTGGAAGCCTACTTCAACCCCTGCGGGGAGGGCCACCAGGTCACCGTCCTGTGCAACAAGTTCTCCGGACACCCCAAGGGGTCAGTGCCAGCCAGGCAACGGGGAGTGGGGGGTGGGGGCTCAGGGAGGGCAGCTCCGGAGGGGCCAGGCGCCCTGGGGTACTGTGGAGCCCAGGCATCCCCGGGGGTGGCCCTCGCCCACCCGAGCTATGCCTACATGGAGTTTGCCGTCAAGAGCTCAGCCCAGGCCTCAGCGGAGCTGGATGAGAGCATCTTCCGAGGCCAAGTCATCAAGGTGTGTTCCCTAAACCACGTTAACCCATGAATCCCTGGGGGACCAGGAAACGCAGGCACAGGGAGAGGCCACGACCCTTCTCCACTCCCCCAGTGTCTCTGGGCACATCCGCGCGTCGGGGTGGGGCGGTGGCTGCCCGCCTCAGGGCCCAGCGGGTCTCCACTGCATAGCGCATTGGCAAGGCACTCTTCCCCAGCTGGACACTTAGGGGATGCTGGGTCCACAGGGGCACATCACCTGACCATGTCTCTGGCTGGACAGTTCAGGTCTGAGTGGGAATTTTGAGGAGGCTGGGAACAAGTTAAGGTCTGATGCCCCAGAGCTCCACGCCCAGGAGCGGCGGGGTGTAAACGCTGCACACCTGCCTGTGAGCTTCCACCGGAGAAACCCAAGAAGGCTTCCTGGAGGCAGCTTTAGCCCTGGGCTCTGCCCTGCGCTCCATTAAGGCTGCGCTGAGGAGGTGGGGAGGAGAACAAGCGTCTCAGAGGGACTCAGCCTTCGGCTCCAGGTGCTGCCCAAAAGGACCAACTTGCCAGGGATCAGCTCCACGGACCGCGGGGCCTTGGAAGGACAGCAAGGCGCCAGAGGAGGACCCTTCCCCCGCAGCAGTCTCCGGGGCAGGGCCCGCTTCAGACCACGAGGGCGGAATCGGTGGGCAGAACCCGGGGCGGGGGCGGGGCCTGCTTCAGACCGCGGGGGCGGAACCGGTGGGTGGGGCCTGGGGGTGAGCCCGGGGGCGGTGGAAACCGGGGGCGGGGGCGGGGCCTGCTTCAGACCGCGGGGGCGGAACCGGTGGGCGGGGGCGGGGCCTGCGCTCACGTCCCCTTTTCTCCACGCAGGGGCAGTGGAAGGTTCTCTCTGTGGTATTCGCCATATTGAAAGGAGAATGCGATTTTGAGAGCGGGGCCGGGGAGGGTCGGGAGTCAACAGCTGTGCTCTTGGCGGGAATAACTGCGCAGCGCCCCCAGCCGGGGCCGTAAGTCTGCATGAAGCCGGACACCACGGGGGTGCAGGTGGGTCCTGTGCCAGTCGGGGCTTTGGAAGGTACTGGCCAAAGCTTCAGGCAGCTGGCGCTGAGTCAGCTTGGGGATCTCCAAGTCTTTTTAAAGAAAAGTAGAAATGTGTCTTAATGTTAAAGCATAAATCAAATTTCAATAGTTTTTGAAAGCATGTGACAGCAGGCCTCCCAGCCCAGGCCTGGTGACCTCCGGGTCTGTGCTGCCCCCCACAGTGAGGGACACAGTGTGAGGCACTGTGGGAGGGCACGCACCTTGGGCTCCTGGCCCAGGCCTGGCCCTTGTCAGAAGTTCCCCACGCTGGGCACTCCGACTGCAGCCCCTCAGCCGCAGACACACCCCACTTCCTCCCTGAGTTGCAGTATGTGCTCCTTCGCACTGCAGGGCTGGGGAAGGAAACTCCCTTTGCTCTGGACCTAGGTAGCTGCCAAGGAACCCTCGCTGGGCTGTTCCAGAGCCACTCGCCTTGTTAGCCTACCTACCAATTCCTTAAGCCCGGAACAGAGCTGCTAGGGCTGCAATCCACAGGGGGTCCACAGGTGGGGTGGGGGGACGGCCACCCCTTGGCTCTCCACCCGCATTTGTCTCTGGCGTCCTCTCTCAGGCCAGCGTCTCACTCCCCCTGATCTGGGGTCAAGTCTGCTCTTGAGTGGGGTGAACGATGCCCCCCTAAAAAAATGTCCACACCCTAATATCCAGAACCTGCGAATGTGACCTTGGGAAAAGGTCAGGATCATCCTGGATCATCTGGGTGGACCCTAAATCCAATGAGACACATACCCACAGAGAGGATGTGGAGAAAGAGGCAGAGCTTGTAGCGTTGTGTCTATAAGCCGAGAAACTGCTGGTGGCCATCAGGAGCTGGACAGGAACGGACCAGATCCTCCCTCAGAACCTCCCAAAGGAACTGGCCCTGCTGACCCGATTCCTGACTCTGGCCTCCGGAACTGGGAGGACATTTCTTTGTTCTCTCCTGCCCACTCGCTCACTCATATGTGCACACCCCGTGAGAAAGTAGGAAGGAGGGGCTGAGTGTCAGGGCAGAGCCGGGCGTGGCCTGGACCAGGTGCAATCAGGAGGGCGCTGACGAGGCTCGCCACCCGGACACAGTTCCCTGGGCTGAAGCTTATGTGGCACCATGCGGGTGACACCGGATCCTGCCTGCTCGGCACCCAGGGGCTGCTCTTCCTCCGCGGCGAGGGGGGATTTGCCTCCGTCTTGAGGCACTCACCGTGCACGTTGGCAGTCTCCACCCCACCCCAAGCTGGTTCTTTCCAGAAGTGTTTTCCTGACCCCTTCTGTGTGGCTGCTCTGAGGAGAGAGTGGGCCTAGGAGTCCCTCCTCTCTCCTTGGGTTTCAGGCCCCAGCCGACCAAGATGGAGGGAGAATGGAGAACACTCCTGACTTGGCGGCCACCTGGGTGGCGAGGGCTCCAAGCTGTGAGCTGCTGAGTGGACTTGTGTGGCTGTGCCTGGAGAAGATGGAGACACACAGGCTCCCTGTCTGGTCAGGGGCAGAAGGACGGACAGGGAGCAGTCACCCACAACCGCTAGGAGCTGACTGGGAGTTGCACCTAATGGGACTCAGCTCTAGGGTGGAGGGACGGGTAGGCAGGTGGCCCACAAGGAGGCTGGCCTCAAGGCAGAGAACTACAAAATGATGATGGGAAACCCCCACAGGACAGTTCCGTTGGCAGCACATGGGCCAGCACATTACTTCTGAGCCCTGCTTTTCTCAGGCTTAAAATGGGATGCTACCTAACAATGCGTGTGAAAACTCCTGAATGTAAAGCATGTTTAAGGGCTGGTCTGGCTGCACCTACAGAAAAACCCAAATAGCAGTGGCTTCGACAAGATAGCAGTTTATTTTATTTTCCTCTACAAAATGCTGACCATAAAAAGTCCTGGCCTATGTCAGCAAAACCCATGTTCCTTCTAGCTTTCTGCTCTCCATCCTTAGGAGATAAAGCTTTTCCTCATGCTTTCAAGAGGGCTGCCTTAGCTCCAGCCATCACATCCAAGATCCAGAAGGGAAAAGATGAGGGAAGGGTACTCCATCTGCTAGCTGAATCCCCCTTCAAAGTATCTTTCTTGCAAGTCTCTCCCAACACCATCCACTTTCATGCCATAACTACCTACCCTTGTGTGCCATGGAGAGTAGAAAGTATCTTCTGTCTAGTCAATTGTAGCCAATAACACTGGGGCTTTGTTAGCAAAGAAGCAAGCTGGCAACCTGCAGGCCCCCCGACAGCCACCACTCAGGCAGGAGCAATTACTACCAAAGCTCAAGCGAAGATGTGCGGGTGGCATCCGCACCAGCGCCTGTTGGGCGGTGCCTCTCAGTTCCACTCTAGGTCTTCCACCTGCACCGGGAGGTGGTGTGCTGGGACCTGTGTTTAATACCCACTCCTGACTGAGTTCTCCCTCTACTTCTCTGATTTTGAACACGACTCCCGTGTTCCTCAGACGGGAAGGGAAGGCAGTGCGGAGGTGTGCAAGTTTCATCCTGGCACCAGCAGCCTTCCCTGCTGCCCAGGAGTCCCGAAGCTGCCTTCCTCCTGTCAGAGGTCTTCTCTGGCGCGCTGAAAAGGGGAGGGAGGGATCGCAGCTGTCTTGGGGCCAAGACTCAAAGCCAGTGTGCTGAACAAATGATAAAGGGTACTAGAGCCTGGGCCAGCTGATCCCAGAAGGCACCGTCACCTGGACTTGGCCGAGCAGGCCTCCAGGGAGGCAGAGTGCAGAAATCCAATCACGCCAGCTCCCTCCCGAAAGTGACCCCTCCCCCCGCCAGCTCGGGGGGCCTGCAGGGGCAGCAAGTGAGCGGGGACTCCTCTAACCCAGCCCGGCCCTCGGGCCGTGAGGAACTGCCGGGTGCTCACCAAGGAAGAGGCCTCTGGGACTGCTCACTCCGTCCTCAGCAAGCCAGAGGCAACCTACGAGCCGAGCCAAAGCTCCCTGGCTCTGTGAGGGGTGCCTCCCAAGGCCAGGCGCAAGACTGGAGACATGAAGGCCCCTCCCTGCGGGGGAGGTGTGTGGGCCGTGTGGGGAGTGGGGGAAGGAGGGCCCTCTAGATCTGGCTCTGGCCAGGTCAGCCTCTGGAGCAGAGGCCCACCCACAGGTCCCTCTGCACCTCCCTCTGCTCCCCCTGCAGCTGCAGCATCTTTAGGGCCCAAAGCTCTGTGGGCTCCCCCCCGCCGCCCCCCGGTCCCTTCGTGCCTCCCTGCTCTGTCCAGTCCCCAAGCAGTGCGCCATCCTGGAGAGTCCCGTGCTACACTCTCTTCAGTTAAACTCTCTGCTGACACAAGGAAAACACCAAATCTAATCTCAGAGGACCTTTAGTCTGCACGCACCCGTGCCTGAGACCTTGCCCCCAGGCAGCCCGTCTGTGGCACTCAGGAATAGGCAAATGATCATGAATCTCCATCGGAGCAGTACAGTTATGCCCACAGGGCCTCTCCAGCACGGCAGCAGGGAGCTCGCTCAGCACACCTGGATCATCATGGACGTCACCATGCTATCGAAGGCCCTGAGGACAGAGACAGCCATCAGAGGAGCTGTTGGGGCTCTGCAGCACCGCCCATGACCTGGGACCGGGAGAGTCCCTCCCCAGTCAGGGACACTCGGCCGCGAGGCCAGTGTCCTGCCACCCCGGCAGCGGGAAGCTAAGTCTCGTGCCCCCTCACACCGTATGCGGTTCCCGCAGTCCTGCCGCGGCTGGATCTCCAGGGCGGGGTGGAGGGGCAGGCGCTGTCCCTGTCCTGCACATGGGATTCTCCGTACCAGCACCTGCTTCTCTCACCCGGGGCCCAGGATGAAGTGAGACACAGCGTCATGGCTGAAGGAAGGCGCCATGGGAAGGGCCTGGCTCGGGTCACTGCAGGATCCTCTCACCTGCTGGCTACAAGGAGCCCCTTGGGAACCACATGTAGGAATGTAGGGAATTCCCAGGAGCAGATGTGGAATGTGTGCATGGAAACGCTTCTTTATACAATCGTTGTGATGTCCCAATGTCACGTCTGTGTCTATTGGAGGACTACGTGGAAGATACCTACAATCCAATTTCCTACCTATTCAAGTTCAACAACCAAGACAAATAGGGCAGGAACAGGAGGACGTTTTCTTACGAACGGCCCGCAGCGGCTCTTCTTACGAAGAGTCCCAGAGGCCTCTTCCTTGGTGAGCACCCGGCAGTTCCTCACGGCCCGAGGGCCGGGCTGAGTTAGAGGAGTCCCCGCTCCTTATGCAACATGCCTGGGCCCTTACTGGGTTCTGTGGGGGCTCTCGGACTAACTGGGCATACCTGGGAAACTGAGAGGGCAAGGTCTGTGCCCCGCCCTGACCCCCAATCCTCTCCCGTCTGTTTTATATATTGGACATCCATGTAAGAGTTTATTGGGAAAACAGGGTTCTGCTGCTTCAGAACGACTCACTCCTTAGAGGAACGATGCCCCTTGCTGAAACAGACCTTCCCTCCTGCACGTTGAGAACAACGGTTCTCAGCAAGGAAGGGTCTGCACAGCAGTCAACTCACCTGGACTGAATGCGGTCCCCGGGGTTGTAGAAGGGATTGCACATCACATCCGTGTAGGAATTGTGCAGCTTCCGGAACATCTGAGACAAGAACCAATGGTGTCAGTTCACGGGTACACATGGCTGCTGCCAAATTTCTGACTTCTCAGCATTTGAAAACAAAGTGAAAAAGAGAAAACGCACTGGCCCAGGCACAGCCTGCAAACACCCCTGTACTTACACTGCGGATCTCATTGTCTCGAAGCGCTGTATTGGAGGAATCCACGACCATGACAAACTTCACCTTGGAGTTTGTCACGTAGCCATACCTGCACAGCTCGTTAGGGAACATGCATTTAACTCAGGGACTCTATGACACCACAAGACACGGCACCACCATGGAGGGTGTGTGAGCCGAGGACCATCTGTGCACAGCCCCTGGCTCCAAAGCCACTTTGGAAAAATAGGACAAGCTTGCATCACAGAAGGGGCCCCAGGTACCTCCCACAATACCGGTAGGACCCCACAGGCTATACTAGGTGGACCATACACTTCCTTGGGGCAGTTTTTGGCATTTACAGGAGGCAGCTAAGCCTTGTTCAGACTTAAGCTTTGGGGCCCACCTGCCCAGACCGTGGGGCACCTCAACTTCATTCTCAATCACTTCCTGGCCCAGTGCTAACTGCAAAACTAGAGGCCCAAGAATCAGGCAGACCCTGCCTAAAGCACCCAGGCCACGAAAGTCCACTTTATCTGGTAGAACAGTGGCTCCTGGGCAGATGTCACGGAAGGCAAGCTACATTACTATTGTGGGGCTGTCTTTGCACTCCATGGGTTTCATGCCATTTGTCCCAAGGGACTGGTCAAGTTATGACGGGGGCCTATGGGGCTGGACCTGGTGACGGAAGGAGAGCTGTCCTTGCTCAGAGGTGGTGGCCCAGCAGACAGAGCCTGGAAAGCTGTCCTCACAGGCATGAAGGAGGAAGGTTCCTGGTTCTTCTGCAAACCAGACAAGGGACAGATGCAGACTGCCACACTTCTCCAGGGAATTCATGCCCAGCTTTTCCCACATTATCCTCCCAAATAAAAAATGGTGTGAAGTCTCAATTAGCCTCAAGCTGCCCTAATTCCCTTTGGTTGAAAGCTCTCACTTTCTTTCCAAGCGACACTGGGTCTTTCAAGGTCACCTGATCCTACAGTACACTTTGAAACTGGAGGTGGGATCTCCAAACGTGAAACCCTGTGGAGAGAGACCACCAGCTGGCAGGCCCCCCCGCCAGGTGTGAAGGATACACCTTGTAGTCCTCTGTGGGGTACAGCAGGCCCAGGTAGAGCTCCCTCTGGTCCACCAAGGCCTTCCCCATGGCAGAGATCTTCTCGTCCACCACGTCCAGGGATGTATGCACCATGTAGTGGAACTTCAGCTCATTCTCGGTGGGGATGCTGCGGATGTAAAGAGGATAATTCTGCAAGAAAGGACGCCGGAACTGAAATGCTGAGAAACCACTCTGGGCACACAGGCCTCAAGGATGAGGCCCCAGAGCACTCAGAACGGAGAACTGGCCAAGAGCCAATTGGCCACAGGGACACACACTCTCATTCTCTGAAACTCATTGCTTACTCCTCCAAAGTGCTGTAGGCAGTGTCTTTGGGGAGCTGATTCCCTATATGTACCTACTGCGATCTCTTCACGCTGGCAGAAACACTAACGTGCCCTCTCACTAAACCCTGTCCAGGCTCAGCTCAAACCACCCTTCATCTCTGCATGGCCAATTCCTACCATCCTAACCCGAGGGGTTAATAGGTCTTACTAGGGTTCCCACATGCCATGATTCACTGGTTCTGTCCTGTGCCTGATGCTGCAAAGATAAACACAATGTGTCCCTATGCTAACGGGGCTGATCTCTGGTGAAGGGCAGGCCACAAACCCAACAAATAAATGACATGTCATGTACTAAGGCAGAAGGCATCCCTTGAAGAACTTCCATAAGGACCACCTCCTAAGCCTGGTCTTATAGAAGACGCAGGAAACCAACGCTTTGTGCAGTAGGAAACCGCGCTCAGTCTTAGCGTTCAGAAACAGCTTTCTGGAGGAAATGAAATCTACGGTGGCCAGCTGAGAAGACGGCAGTGGGTTTCCAAGTGCAAAGGCCCAGAGGCGAGAAAGCAGAGCCTGTCAGAGAAGCTGCAGGTCGGAGTGGTTGGAGTGGTTGGCTAGGGGAGAAGGGGATGAGGCGACTAAGTTATTCTGACGTTACCGTGAGGCCATGAGAAGCCCCTGAGAGATGTGGGGCCGGGGCGTGACACGCTCCGGGGAGGTTTTTAAAACAGCACCGGGGCTGCCGTGTGGAGAGGAGGCCGTTAGCCGTGGCGCGGGCGACGGTGCGGCCGGGCGGGAGAGCGCAGCGCAGCAGGATGTGCACCAGTGGACAGCGGGGCTCGGGAGCGAGAACCAACGGGGCCCGCGGACGGCGGACGGACGGGGGGGCGCAAGCGGGGGTCCCGGGCCCTGTGCTCGCCCGGGGCTGACCCTGCAGCCGCCGCAGACGCGGGCCTGGGCGGAGCCTCCCCCGCGCACCGCCCCCACCTCGGCGCCGCAAAGCCCGTTCTCGCGGAGCCCTCGGGGCAGGGAGGGAGGCGGGAGCGAGGCGGGGGCCTGGGCAGGGGCCCCGAAGCCCGCCGTCCCGCCCAGGGCTGGAGCGGGACAGGCCCGCCCGCGTACGCACCTCCTTAGCGATCACCGCCACGCACACCGCCATCTTGGAGGCCCGCTCGGCCGCGTCACGTGACCGCGCCGCCAGTCACGCGGCCGCCGTGGTTCCGCCCCGCCCCCCGGCGGGGACCGTCGCCCGCGCGCCCGCCGGTTCCTGCCGCTGGCCTGGGCTCGGAGGCGCCCGGCGCGGTTGCCATGGCGCCGGTCGCCGCGGTGACGAGGTGGCGGCTGCTGCTGGTGCTCAGCGCCGCTGGGCTCGGGGCCGTGGGCGCCCCGAAGCCCCCCAACATCCTGCTCCTGCTCATGGACGACGTGAGTGCGGCCGCCGCTGGTCAGGCTCCCAGGGAGGGCCCTGGGTGAAGGAGGGCCGTGGGGGCGGCCTGGTGGGGAGGGCCGTGACGGGGGGAGGGTCGGGGGCAGGTTGGGCCGTGGGGACGGACGGCCGTGGGGGCGGCCTGGTGGGGAGGGCCGCGACGGGGGGAGGGTCGGGGGCAGGTTGGGCCGTGGGGACGGACGGCCGTGGGGGCGGCCTGGTGGGGAGGGCCGCGACGGGGGGAGGGTCGGGGGCAGGTTGGGCCGTGGGGACGGACGGCCGTGGGGGCGGCCTGGGGCGGAGGGCCGTGAACAGGGTGGGGTTAGGGGGCGCGCCGTGGGGGAGGAGGGGGGTCATAGGTGGGGAGACATAGCTGGGGCGGCCTGTGGAGATGGGCCATAGGGGAGGACATGGGGGAGGGCTGTGTGGCACCCACGGGGGGCCGTGAGATCCTGGCCCTGCCATCAGTAGCCTTGCTTTGGTAAAGCTGGACTAAGGTAGTCACGTCCAGGCTGCCCAGGGAATGACTCCTCCACTGTTCCGTCTCTCTCACTCCAGAAGGACAGACTGGCGACCCCGGCCAGTTCTCCAGCAGCCCCTGGTCACCTTGCCATCCCCCCCACACACACACACACACACACTCTGCCCCAGGTATCTGGGGCAGGGAAGGGGTGCAGAGCTGACTGGGACCCAGGGCCCGCCTGCCATGAAGGTCACTTCTCTCTGCTCTTTGCATCCAGGATGTGCCCTGCTTGGGGCTGTTGCCATCTCCCTGGTCGGCTGCTCAGGCTGGCTGAGAATTCTGGCCATAAGTCAGGTTTTGCTGGGTCTGGGAAGACTTGAAGCAGGAGGAGTGTCCGCTGCTGGGTGTGTGTGCAGCCCCAGGCCTGTGGCCACTCTGGTCACACTGATGGATCGGCCCTGCAGAGGTTAGCAGGATGCCTGGCAGGGGACTGAGCTGTTCATTTGTCTCTCTGTGACTTTGTCACCCCTGCTCTTGATCCATAGAAGCTAGGAGTGAAATGGAGGTTCTGAACTTCGTGTGAGGTGTCAGGGTAGAGCAGGAACAGGGGCAGGCCCGGGCGCTTGGTGCCCCTCAGGTCTTGTCACCTGTCCCGGCGTCTGCTCCTCAAACCCTTGGAAGGACCCCGCCATGATAACAGAGCTTCGATGTGACTTGGCTGGTAGTGGAGGCCCTTGGCGAGCTTCAGGACAGGTCAGCAGAGAGGCTGAGGTATGGCTAGAGAGGAGTTTTCAGCGCGGCCCTGACCTCTAGGGAAGGCCACTGGGCTGGAGCTTGAGTTCCATCACCGACGGCCAGTGATTTAATCAGCCCTGCCTCTGCAGCGACACCTCCACAAAACCCTAAGGGATGGCATCTGCTGGCAGCGTGACTCCCCCTACCCTCACCTCGCCTGGGCATCTTTTCCGTCTGCTATTCCTGAGTCACATTCTTTATGACAAACTGCTAATAGGAAATATGGCGCATTCTGGGTACCATGAGCCGTCACAGCAAATGGTTGAGTTCTGTCAGAAGTGTGGAGGCCTGGGGGGCGCAGTTGGTGAGGCACCCGACTCTTGGTCTCAGCTCAGGTCTTGATCTCAGGGTTGTGAGTTCAAGTCCTGCATTGGGCTCTGCACTGGGTGTGGAGCTTCTGTTTAAAAGAGGAAAAAAAATTAAAAAGGAGTATGGAGGCCCGGGACCTGCGGCTGGCGTCTGCAGAGGGGCCAGTCTGTGGCACCGAGCCCCGGCCTGTGGGGTCTGATGCCAGCTCCTGGTAGATGGGGCAGAACTGGGTTGTGGGAGGTCGAAGAAGTGGATGGTGTGGAGACCCCCTGCAGTTAGAGTCAGAAGCGTTTCCAGTAAGAATGGCTCAGAGTTTCCCCAAAATGCCGGCAGAGAGCCTCACGGGAGCCTTTGGACCAGGCCGTCCTGGCAGGTCAGCACGGAGGAGAGCTGCCTGTGACGCTCAGGTTCTGAAGACTTAGTTCAAGGAAATGAGCATAAAATTTCTCACTTAATAACTTCATTATTAAAATGATTTCTTACGGGAAGTTAAGGGTTCTGAGGTAATTCTGAAAGATGCTAGACATCTTTCGTAGTTCGGCTTCCCAGGGATAACAGTGACCGTGCTTCTCTACTCCTGTAAGCGTGCTCAGAGGAGGGGCTTCTGGAGCAGGCGCTGGGGCTCCTCGGGAGACCCTGCCCCCATGGCTGCCGGGGAGACTTCGCTTACCTGTCAACAACACGTCCTAGGCGCGCGTGCTCTCTGGCCCACGGGGCGGGCTTCTGCAAGCCGAGCCCTGCGGAGGCCGCTTGAAGCAGTGTCCTTGCGAAGGCCAGACTCTGCGACTGCTCGGCCTTTCTGATTCCTGCCCTCTCCTCCCATCCGCAGTGACTGCGGTGTACAGCCAGCTGCGTTTCCTCGCCAGTGGTGGGAGCGTCGCGCGTTGAAGGCGCGCTCAGATGATCGCATTTTGGGTACACAGGGTTAAAATACACGAACCTTTTTCTCCTTTTGCCTTTTCGATAGGAATGCTGGAAAACGCAGATGTGTACAGCTGATCGTATTTCTGTTGAAAGCATTGGTTCAGGCCCTAGAGGTCCTGAGTGGTGGTGCGGGACCAGCCCTGGGAGTGCTTTTCTTGAGGGGGCTTCATGGGCAGCTCCCGCCCCCCGCCCCCCCGCCTGGGCGCCCCGCGTCGGGCAGCAGCGAACCGGAACAGCCAGCCGGGAGGGCCAGGACTGGGGCCGGGCCTCTCTTGTGCAGGTTCCTCCTTGTGGCTTTGGGGTTGTTTAACAGCCGAAATGTGAAGAAGTCTCGAAGACTTTTGTCCTGGTTGGCAAACGCAGCTTAGTTCGGACTTCTTGGTGACAACTGACAGGAAACACACAGTGACTCGGGCAGAAATAGAAACCCTGGCTCTCCTGCTAGACAGGCCAGGGCTGGGGGGCTTAGGGCCAGGGTGGGGCTTCTGGCCGCGGGGGCTTCAGGGCCAGGACAGCAGCTGTCTCACCGTTCCTTGCTGTCTGCTCAGGACCAGACGGGTCCCCTGCAGATGGGTGTTAAATGAGTTTAGAAGATGCTGAGCACGGTCTCTTCGGTGGAGCTGACTTTTCCCTTCTCCACAGCGAACGGGGCCGGTGGGCAGGGGGCTAGAGGCCCACTTTCCAAGTGCCCGGGTGCTGGCTCTGTCTTGGTTCCTTATCTGTACGGCAGGAGTGGGGGGTGTGAAGTCGGGCTAAACAGAAGCAGCCCCTGTGTGACTGGTGGGCCTGTCAGGCAGAGACCCCAGCCTGAACTGCCCGAGCCACGGAGCGGACCGCGCATGTCCTTCGATTCGTGTTGATGCGAGTCTGAGGGCCTAGGGTGACCCCTCACAGCCAGTGGTGAGCAGCTCTAGGGAAAGGAAAGGTGGATCCCAGGAAGGGAAGTGAGCCCCGTGGCCTCCACCTGCACCGCAGGCTGCGGGGTCAGGCTCTGGCCTCGCAGCCCCTCCCGCCCCCGACTGGGGCATATGGGTCCTTTTCCCTGTACGGGGCCTCACAGACTCCTGTTGCTGAGGGACAGTATCCCTTTTCTGCCCCAGGCTTAGCCTCCATCCTTCCTGTGGCCACACCTTCCTCCGGGGGCTTATTCCGTGCTTGTGCCTGTGGTCACCAAACAGAACAGCCATTTCAGAGACTTCAGAATAAACCACACCCAGAGGAATCCAGAGCTGAAAGGCCAAAGGGATCGCCTGCTGGCTGACTCAGGAGAGCGGTCAGGGGCCTGGAGGGTGCCTGCACTTTTCTGATAGCTGTGTGGGGACATCGTGCAGGCTACAGGCTACTCACTGGCTTAGATGGGCAGGTCTGTGGGGTCTCTTGGGCTCAGCGCACTGTGCAGCCACTGCAGGCCACTTCAGGCCGTGTCCATCGGCCCAAGAAGAAGCCCTGTGCCCCTTGGCAGGCACCTGCCTCTGCTCCCCCAGCTCCCACAATCCACCTCCCAACCCTCTGGCCCTGCCTATTCTGGCCCTTCACAGAAACAGAACCCCACGGCACTTGGTCCTCATGTCTGGTCCTGGCCCACAGCGTCCTGATTCCCAGCGAGTCGGTGCTGCGCTCCCCCCAGCCCAGCGGCGTTCAGTGCGCATTTGCTGCTTCCTGGGGCAGCCCCACTGACCACAAACAGGAATGAGTCTCTCCTGCCCCAGTTCTGGAGGCCAGAGTCTGAAGTCAGGGTGGCAGCAGGGCCGGCCCCTCCTGAACTCTGGAGGACGGCCCTTCCTGCAGCCTCCAGCTCCAGGGGCTCCTGGCGCTCCTGGCCAGTGGCCATGTCCCTCAGCCCCTGCCCTCCCACATCTCCCATGTGTCTGCGTCCTGCCTCTCCCGTGTTCTGATGGGGACAGCCGTCGGATTTGTGAGTCTTCATTCAGGCTCATTACACTGGCAGTTCCTTTTTTTTTTTTTTTTTTTTTTTTTTTTTAAAGTAGGCTCCACCAGCATGGAGCCCAACTCGGGGCTTGAACTCACGACTGTGAGATCAAGATCTGAGCTGAGATCAAGAGTCAGACACTTAACTGAGCCACCCAGGTGCCCCTACACCTGTGTTTCCAAATACGAGGCTGTGCACAGGTTCTGAGTGGACATGACGTTCAGCCCAGTACCGCGTGGATAGACCGCGATCTGTGTGTCCACTGAGCAGCCGTCGGACGCCTGGTGCATTTGCTCTGGGCTGTCGTCAGTCATGCCTCTGCAGACACTCATGTATTTGTGTAGTTCTGTGTGGTGCTCATTTCCCATTCTCGTGGGTAGACTTGGGAGGGGAACAGCCCAGTTGTGTGGCCATGCTGTGTTTCACTTGGTGGGGAACCTTACTGCTTGTCTTCAAATCTGAGTTTGCACAACAGACTTCAGAGGTCTTGCTTCTTTATGTGGTACGTAGGTTTGTGTTCTGAGTTGCTGGTTCCCCGTGAGCCAGCGATGCTAGCATCAGAGGCTGAGTGGCAGGCGAGCACGTGGTTGTCTCCACTGAGCGGGCGCATGCAGCAAAGCCAGCTAACGGCGCTCTGCAGCCCGCGCCAGGCACGGGGGTGTGGTGGGAGCTCTGTGGCTTGTGGGGCGCAAGGTGGGCAGCTCCTGGCTTATCTCTCACGTCTCCCCCAAGGCGGAAGGAGGCTTGTTCGACCTCTCCATGCTGTCTTCTGCAGATGGGGTGGGGCGACCTGGGGGTATATGGAGAACCTTCAAGAGAAACCCCGAATTTGGACCAGATGGCCGCAGAAGGGATGCTTTTCCCAAACTTCTACTCAGCCAACCCACTGTGCTCGCCATGTAAGTTGGGGCTGGCCCGTGGGCGCAAGGAGTGGGGACCAGGACTCGGGCTCCACCCATCTTCCTTCCAAGCAGAGCACCAGAAGGGCCAGCAGGTGGGTGCGGCCCTAACCCATTCCCATCGGGGCCCCAGCAGTCTGGAGCACCTGGACTCCATGCTGTCGCAGGCTACCAAGGGCATGGAGCATGTAAGGGGTTTGGAGGCAGAAGTCACTGCTTGTGGTACCTGCTTTTCCTTCCCGGAGCAGAGCGGCTGTGGGTGGTTCAGGACAAGTGCCCTCTCCTCCCAGGACAACCACTCATGCTGGGGAGACTCCTTACGTGCTCCCCCAAGGAGGAGAAGGAAGGCCGGTGGGGGGTGGGGCATGAGAGCCGCCGTGCCAGGCGCTGTGCCCACCAGGCTCTCTGGAGATGCTAGCAGGAGCAGGAGCCTCACGGAGCTGGCCGTGGGTCTAGTGAGGGACAGCACGCTCATGACATTTCTGTTTCCTCTACATAGCACGGGCAGCTTTGCTCACTGGACGCCTGCCCATCCGCAACGGCTTCTATACCACCAACGGGCATGCCAGAAACGGTACGCGGTACACGCAGGCAGCTCCCGTAGCACAGGAGGATGAGAGGGGGCTGGGGCGGGCAGGGGTGTCTGCCACCGTCCTCATGTGACCCCGCTTCTGCGGGCCAGCTCAGTGAGCACCAGCTCGTTACCGAGGCTCAGAGGCTGTGTGTGGGTGTAGCCCGTCATTTAGAGCAGGCCTCCATCAGAAACCGTGCATCGTAAGTAAGTGAAGAGAAAGGTGGCCTTAGTGCTGGTCTTCTCGGGGACTCGGTAGCGTCGGTCTCCTTCCCGGTGCTGCTTTGCCAAGGACACAGGGTGGGCAGGTGCTGCTCCTTCCTGCTGCCTTCCTGCCCCCGGGGCTGCCCAGCAGCTGGGGCTCTGAGCGGAAAGTGTGCCAGGACAGTCGTGCTCCAGAGTAGAAAGCAGAGGGAGCCAGCTCCATGTACGCACACCCTGCATTACTCTTGCAGCTTACACGCCGCAGGAGATCGTGGGCGGTGTCCCGGACGAGGAGCACCTGCTGCCCGAGCTGCTGAAGCGGGCCGGCTACGCCAGCAAGATTGTGGGCAAGTGGTGAGTCCCGACGCTCCTGTGGGGCGTGCACAGCCGGCCGGCGAGCGCAGGGGCTCTGTCTGGTGGGGAAGCGGAGAAGCAGCCGGGAGGTGAAGGACAGTCCCTTGGTGTGGGGTCATCGGACCCGGCAGTGTTGCACAGAGGCCACGTGGTGTGTGTGCGTGCTGTGCATGCCACGGTGAGCAGGTTCAACGGGGATCCCCAGATGTGCAGCCCCAGACGGAAGATGTGAAGGTCACACGTTCTCCCTTCCCTTTCCCGAGCTGTGGGGCTCTTGGAAGAGAGCAAGCCCACCGTCTCCGGGGAGCCTTTTCTGATGTCCAGCCCTCCTCACGCCTCCTCCCTGCACCATGGCCCCTCTGCCCTCAGCCCCTCTGCACCTTGCTGGCATTGTCTTCTCGAGGAGGAGTGCCCTGGCCGCGTCCCGTGCACAACACAGTAGTCACAGCCGTGGGAGGTCCACGGAGACTGGAACAGTAATCTAATCGTTAGAGAATCCTGGTGATCCAGGAGCTGCCTAATGAATGCTTCCTCGCTCCTGAATCTCATTGGGATCCGTCCTGCCAAGCAGTGCTCAGACGAGGTGGTGGCAGCGAGCAGAGCTGAGGGGTGCTTGTTGCCTGCAGAGTCCCGGGCAGTGCCCAGAAAGCCCAGGGAGACTGGCAGAGGCTGGGTGCGAGGCCAGCCAGGGCCGTGTCTGGGTGGAGCCCACGGAAGGGAAGGGCCCTGTGATGCCTGGCCTGGCAGCTCTGCCCTGGGTCCAGCCGGCTTCCAGGGTGGGGGTCCCAGTCTCGGCCGGGTCCCATTACAGGGCTGTGGACTTCCTGACCTTCTTCCTCCCAGCCCAGCGCCACAGAGCCAGACTTCTGTGCTTGAGCAAGTTTGGGGCTGGGTGGAGCCCGCTCCAGCTGCCCTGGTCCCAGGGACCGCAGCCCACCGCCTGCCGCCCACTTCCGCTCACCTGAGGGCAGCGCTGGCCTTGCTGCTGTTCTGAGTTGACAGCTTAGCATAAGCAGGACCTTGGTTGGCTGTTTGTGTTAAGCAGAGGCCATCCGAGCTGGTGCATGTGGGCATGCTGGAATGCCGTGCTCAGCCGGTGTGACCCCTCTCGGCCGGTGCTGGCGTGGCTGGGGAGACATGACCACACTGGAGCAGCAAGCCCGGGCAGACACAAGACGCGGAGAGGAAGCGCAAAGCATAGAGCTGACAGGTTTCTGCAGAGAGAGAAGTCCCAGCAGAGCCGATGCTTCTGCTCCTGGCCGGAGGGGTTTGCAGAGACCGGAGGCCGGCACTGGCTGCGTGGCAGTCGGGAGGCAGAGCGTCTGAGAACCGGCTGTGGCAGCCGAGGCCCCGAGAAACGCACTTACTGGCATCTTTTTCGACTCTGTTGCTGGGCACTTCAGTTCTGGCCCCGCTTGGCCCACCCTCCACCACTACACCACACTGCACCCTCCTTGACCGAGTGACCAGCGCCCGGGGATTCACACGAGCCACTGGAGCACCTCTGAGCAGGCAGGTGGGCCCCCTGGCCACCTGCTCCAAGGCCTCCCCAGAAGCAGCAGAGCAGGGAGACTCTGCTTTCAAGCTTGTGTGGCCGTGAGAGACAGGGGTGAGCCCACTGCCCCAGTGGGGTTGTCGTGCTACCGAAGAGCCCATGGCCCGAGTGGAAAAACCCCATCTGCCTGCACTGTGCGTTCTGAAGAGCAGACGGGGGTCTGTGCTCAGGGACTGTTGGCCCCTCCCATGGGCACCTCCTGTTGGCAGAACTGACAAAGGGAGGGTTGTGAGGGGTGGGAGTGCTGGGCTTCTGATGCCCGTAGTACAGAGAGCGTGGGCTGGGGAGCGTGGCCATTGTCATCCTGCAGGCATGCCTGTCCCCGTGCAGGGCCAGGGCACTGGGTCACTGAGCAGCCTTGGCAGGTCCTGGCGCTGTCCCTGTCTGTGATGAGGCCAGGCTGGGGCAGTCAACTCACCCAGGGCCCCCGTCCATCTTTTGGGGCGTGATTATCAGTAATTGGGAGAAGAGGCTCTTAAAGACCTTGTCCTGAGCGGTTGGTAACTACCTCCCTGAGACATTTCCTTCCTCACAGTCCCAGAGAAAGCTGAACCCACAAAACCGTCCTCATGAAAAAAGGAAGTAAGCGGAGCATGGAGATGGGGCTGCATTCAGAGTTCTGGGTGGGTTCCGGCGGGTGTGAGATAGCTCACCATGTATCTTCCCAGAGCCCCTCCCAGCATTCCGGAGGGATGCTTGAGCGCTCCTCTGTGCCTGGACACCCTATGTGGCCAGGGCCCTCGGCTTCGAGGGGGGTGAGCGGGGTCCTGGTGCCTGCCTGGAGGAAGAGGTCTCGGGGTGCCTGGGGCTTAGCACACGTAGGGCCCGGGAGGGACACTTGCTCCCTGAAATGTTCTGTGAAGGCGAGAAGTTGTCCGTGCTCAGGACTTTGGGGTACCTCTGAGCAGGGGTTCCTAAAGTGTCCTGGGTTCCTGTTTCTAGGCACTTGGGCCACAGGCCTCAGTTCCACCCCCTGAAGCATGGATTCGACGAGTGGTTTGGATCCCCCAACTGTCACTTTGGACCTTATGACAACAGGGCCAGGCCCAACATCCCTGTGTACAGGGACTGGGAGATGGTCGGCAGGTAACGGGTCCCTTCCCTCCCCACCCTGAAGACAGCAGAGCCCAGCCCCGCCCTCTGGTGCTGCCCTAGGAGCGGGATGGAGGTTCTGGAACTACCTGCTTCCAGCTCTGGTGTCCCAGCACATCAGCACTTGGATTTGTCAGCTGGCGGTTCTGCCTGCGGTTTATAAGACCGTGGCTTTAGGACCCTCGGCTTAGGGTTGCTGCTTGAGCCATACCTGCAGGGGCTTTAACCTTGAAAAGGTTAGGAATACGATGAGAACCGAGACCCTCCCCTGAACAAGATGTGTTTACACAGCACCATGTTTAGCTTCTGAGGTTTGGTTCCTGAAGCCGTTGAGCAGCCTGGGCTCTGGCTTCAAGGCCGTTTGCACCAGGCTGGCCTGTGGGCCGCGTGCTAGGAGCCCACGGGGCTGCCCCCTTCCTTGGGAGCCTACCAGGAGTGCTCTGCTGTCTGAGCCAAGTGGCTCCCCATGCGCCCGACTGGCCGCAGGCCTGCCTTCACGAAGCCTGCAGCATGGCCCCGCTGGGGTCGGGCCCCGGTCTGTCTCCAGCTTCGTGTGGCTTGATTTTCCTTTCCTCCTTCCTTCCTTTTGTATTGTTTCACATTCTTGGTGGAAGTTTTTTTTTTTTTTTTTAAAGATTTTATTTGTTTATTTGACAGAGAGAGACAGCGAGAGAGGGAACACAAGCAGGGGGAGTGGGAGAGGGAGAAGCAGGCTCTCCGCCGAGCAGGGAGCCAGATGAGGGGCTCGATCCCAGGACCCTGGGAACATGACCTGAGCCGAAGGCAGACGCTTAACGACTGAGCCACCCAGGCGCCCCTTGGTGGAAGTTTGCTGTGCATCATGGGCCAGAAAGCTGGGTCAGGCCCTTGCGTTTTCATAACAGTCTCATTGAGAGAGAACGCACCCCGTTGGAAGCGTAGTTCGGGGCTCCCTGGCACGCTCGCGGTGCCACGCAGACACGGCCAGCTTAGAGCGCCTGTGCCCCGTGAGCTGCCACTGGTCCTGGGTGGCCGCACACCCGCCTCTGCCAGCCTCCCTGTCCTCACACGCTTCTCCTCCCAGACCGGGGGCTGCTGTGGTGCCTCGTCCTCGACAAGCCTGTGACCTCCCAAGCAGTGCCAGGTTCAGTGTCGTTTACACACACGTTTGCGTTTCATCTTTCTCGTGAACGAGGCCCGTAACTTTGCCTGTGAAATCACAGCAAAGGAGGCTTTCTTGGCCTTCTAAGATCTAATTTTTGTCTGGGTTTATGTTATTTTCAGATACTATGAGGAATTTCCAATCAATCTGAAGACGGGGGAAGCCAACCTCACGCAGGTGTACTTGCAGGTAATGGAAGTGTGGGCTGGGTGGGCCCCACGTGAGGGAGGCTGGCCGCCGGGCACACGGAGGTGGCGTCTTCTCCTCAGGAAGCTCTGGACTTCGTGAAGACGCAGCAGGCGGCTCAGCGCCCCTTCTTCCTCTACTGGGCCATCGATGCCACTCACGCACCTGTTTATGCTTCTCGGCCCTTCTTGGGCACCAGCCGGCGAGGGCGGTGAGTCCTTGGTCGTAGAGACATGGACCTCCACCTGGAGGGTTCAGTCATGCTTGATTACCTCCAGGAACGGGGTGCTCAGTGCCATTATGTCTTCAATTACCCTTCACGGAAAGAGACAGCAGCCCCTGTGCTTCCCCAAAGCGGTCCATGAGGCCGGCCTTTGTGGGAGGAGGGTTGCGGTGGTGTGGTTGGTTCTGTCCTGGATTAGCTCTGGGAACTGGACTTTTCCTCCTCTTCTCTGAATTCAGCCAGTCCGTTGTGTTGTCCATTACCGAAGCCGTGACTTCACTGTTCACTGACGCCTTTTCTCCCCAAGGTACGGGGATGCTGTCCGGGAGATCGACGACAGTGTTGGGAAAATCCTGAGCCTTCTTCGGGACCTGAGGATCACAGAGAACACGTTTGTTTTCTTCACGTCTGACAATGGCGCTGCTCTCATTTCTGCTCCTAAACAAGGCCAGTGTTCCACGCACCCTTGCCTCCACGGATAGGGCTGCCCTCGGGACCCTGGGATGTCTGAGGCTCCATCAGGGCCACTCAGCCACCCTGGTTAGAGTGTGAAGGGGCCAGCCTGGGGCCTGTCCAATGAGGGAGACGCCCGCTCCCTTCCTGGGGGCCCTAGTCTAGTGGGAACAGACTGTCACACAGGAGACTGGCAGGGGCCACCCACCAACACCCACATTACATGGAGTACTCTCCTTTCCTAAAAGGCTGGAGCATTTCCAGACCTCATGGGAAGTGGTGTCTAGGAGAGCAGGGACCCAGCCCCCCACCCCACAGTGCTGGCTTGGCTCCGCGAGGTTATCTCCGCAGGGCCGTGACCCCCTGGGGCTGCTCAGCAAGCTCTCAGGCTGTTCTGTCTTGTTAAGCAAGGAGATCCCACCTTGGTGTCCTGTAAGTCGCCCCCCCTCCCCCCATGGTGGCACGTCTCTTTGTCCTATTTTCCTTTTTTTTTTTTTTTTAAGATTTTATTTATTTATTTGAGAGAGAGAATGAGAGATAGAGAGCACGAGAGGGAAGAGGGTCAGAGGGAGAAGCAGACTCCCCGCCGAGCAGGGAGCCCGATGCGGGACTCGATCCCAGGACTCCAGGATCATGACCTGAGCCGAAGGCAGTCGCTCAACCAACTGAGCCACCCAGGCGCCCCATCCCATTTTCCTTTAAGGGGCTCGGGCCTCAGCAGGGCCCTGAGTCACTCAGAGGGCTCTGGAAGGAAGGCCACGGGGAGCAGGAAACCCCAGGGGGCAGGCCTGGGTAGGGAGGTGCTGGGGGACCCTGCAGTCAGGGGGGCTCCTGCGGCTGGTGTTCCGGGGGCAGATGGGCTCAAGCTGAGAAGGAATCATGTTGGTGACAGAACAGCAGTTCAGAGTCTGGGCCTGGCTGGTCTGGGGTCCCAAGGGGTGCCGTCCACGGCCCATGGAGAGATCTTGTCCTCACGCAGGCTCTCCCCGTACAGCTGATGATCCCAGAGGTGAGGGCGACACGCTCTGCCTCCTTCCCAGCAAAGGCCCCGGGCCGGCTGGATGCCGCTGTCCCTGCTGTGCCTACCCAGCTCAGTGCCCCGAGAGCCCCCCGCTGGCCAGCCCTCGCTGGGGCCACCAGCCTCCCAGGCCTGGGCTTCAGTGTCCCATCCTCGTGCCTAAAGCATGGAATGGTTCACGCACACAAAATCCACATGCTTAGCTGTAAGAATGTGAATCCGTGTACTCGCCTCACAGCGTGCGGAGTGGAGGCGGACGAGCGGTGGACCCTCATCAGCGCCTGTGAGCCCCGTGAAGCCCCCAGAAGGAGCCACATCGGCCCCCGCTGCTCCGCGCCGTTCTCTCCCGTGTGCGTTCCGTTTGCCTGTGCCCGCTCTCTGCCCTGACGCGCGCTTTGCTGCTCTTCCGTCGGCTCTGCCCGCGCGCCTGTGGGGGTGGGGTTCAGGGCCAGCTCAGGAGGGAGAACACCCCTCCTGTTTGTCATGGGGGCCGGGGTTGCGGGAGCCCCAGGCCGCTGGTGCTGGCGGCAGCAGGGCACCTTTTGTCCTGGGCTCTGGGAGCGAGCCAGCCTGGCCGGGGCCGTCTGCCCCCCAGCCCTTCCACACGCGTGGTTCGCAGGGGCACTTCTCAGAAACAGAACCTGCCCTGGTCTCAACGGAGCACCCGCCAGGGGACCCGGGGGCCGATGCATTTTAATTAGACTCCCCACGCGCACACAGGGGACGCTTGAAGACGCGAATGTCTGAGTTACACGGGCCTTGCAGGCAGCCGTGAACCCTGTCAAGGCTCCTTAGGACCCGTGTTGCAGCTCTGGCTAACGGCAGTGGTCACGTCCGTTTCTGAGCGGTCTCGCGCTGCCTTAGGGACACAGCGATGCTGCCGCACGATCTGCAGGCGTGTGACCTTGAACTTGAGGCCTGAACTCTGGCTGGTCCTTTGAGCAGCGTCATCCTTGAGGGGCCAGGAAGGTGGCAGGCAGGCTGTGACAGACAGACACCTCCTGAAAGCGAGTGGTCAGCAGGGTGGGCGCCACCCTGGGGACTCGGGGTAGGCATCTGGTGCGTGACGACTCTGTCTCCCTAGGTGGTAGCAACGGCCCCTTTCTGTGCGGGAAGCAGACCACGTTTGAAGGTGGGATGCGGGAGCCTGCGATCGCGTGGTGGCCCGGAAAAATCCCTGCAGGCCAGGTGAGTCACATCAGCCGCTCACGCAGGTGAGACTCCCAGTCCCTCCGCACCGGGAGGTAGCTGGTGAAGGGTAGGTGGGGCAGGCACTGGGACATCAGGTGACGAGGCTGCCTGTCCCTGAATGTGGCAGTGCTGAGTGCAGCTAAGTTAAGCAGTTTTTTTTTCGTGCAGGACTTGTCAGAGCCTTAGTGTGCCCGTGGACGTCACAAATACCTGAAGGCACAGGGCATGCTGAGTTTCTAAAAGCTTGTTGGGCCACAAAGCGTGTCTCCCAGGCCACTGGTTCCACAGGCACACTCGCAGAGATGGCAGCCCTTTCCTGCCCCTCAGAGCCCTTTGCTCTGTCCCTCCTTCCACTGAGAACCCACACACAGGGTTTTCTCTCACTGGGTGGCTCAGTTCAGACTCCTGACAGATACAGGGTGTCAGGGCTAATGTTTGGAGATACTCCTCCATGGTCTCTGGACTGGTCTCTCCCCTTTCTGTGCTCCAGAGAGCAGTGCAATCAGTTCAGCCCTCATAGCCACACCACGAGGGACACGGATCACCTTATGGTTCGTCACAGTTGCCAAGCGCAGTGGCTTACACAGCATCCTCATCCACTCGGGCTGGAGGATGGAAGACCGGCCAGGCCTCCTGGGCCAGGCTCACAGCTTCTGGAGGCTCCAGGGGAGGATCCATTTCCTCATCTTTCCCGGCTTCTCCAGGCTCCCACGGCCCCTCCCTCCACCGTCCAGGCCGGCAACGGCCAGTCGAACCTCCCCTGGTCCCTCTGGTTCTGGCCCCCCAGTGATGTCCACGGTCAGGGCCCCGCGGTGACCCTCGTCCCTCTGGCTCTGGCCCCCCGGCCATGTCCATGGTCAGGGCTCTGTGGTGACCCTCGTCCCTCGGGCTCTGGCCCCTTGGCCATTGCCAGGGATCCAGGATCAGCTCCCGTTTTAAGGCCAGCTGCTTGGCAGCTTTGATTCTCTCTTTACCATGTAAGCGTTCACAGGGTCCGGGGATTGGGACGTGGACCTCAGTAGGGCGTGGGTGTTGTTCTGTCCACCATCACATCATCATCTTCATCATCACCACCGTCACCACCGCTCCCATGCTACGTGTTAGCAAACTGTGGCCCCGGGAGAGGAACTCACTTGTCGGGACTGCTGGCTGTCAGGTGGCAGAGTGGGGAGCAGGCCCCAGGCGTGGGGCATGGAGCCCACCCTCCTCCCCTGGCTCCCCACAGCTTCTTTCTCCAGGACCATTTCCGTGGGGACCTGTCTCCCAAGGGAGGGCTCCAGCCTTTGGGATCATCCCCCTCCACTGCTCATCCGCCCGGCTCCCCACCCTTCTGGGCCCCGCTCCCTGGAGGAGAGAGCATGCCGAACAGAGCCGTGTGGCCTTCCCTGCGCTGTGTCCCATGGCACACGCTGAAACTGAAGCCTACGGGTTGTGAGGCCCGTGCCCTGTGATGACCACGGCGGGACTTTATTGAACCACTCTGTCGTGTGTCCAGCAGGTTCAAATGCTCAGCCCCCCTCATGCTTGGCAGGGTGACTGTTGCAGAGTGGAGTCTTGGGAGTGGTGGTAGCACCAGCAGGGACACCCACGTGCCCACAGCAGACGGACTGCTTTTTCTTAAAGACATCGTGCGTGTTGAGAGTTTCTGTCCTTCAGGAAGAGTTTGTGTGTTCCCAGCTGTCCTGTGCACATAAGGAGGACATCAGATGTTCTGTCCTACCCCACCATGCCACCCACATGGCAGTCTCTCTTCTCCATTTGTTTTTCCCAGGCAGTTAAAATATTTAGATTTCTTTTTTTCTTTTTCTCTTTTGTCAAAAAAAAGTGGTAAGGGAGAGAAGCCGTGGCAATGAGGTAATGCCGTTGGCCTCCACCTCCTCTCCTCCGCGAACCTCCACAGAGGGTTTAAGTCAGACATTGCCTTCCCGTTCCCCCACACTGGGCCGCAGAACCTGCGCCGCCAGCAGCCACGGCCTGTGTGCTCTGTGTCCACACGTGATCCAGGGCGTGGGCAGCAGTGGCTGGAAGTCCCAGCCAACCGCGTGCACACGGGATGCCTGCCTCGCCAGGCCTGCCAGCAGACTCTCCGGGCCACCCCGCTGACCTGGCCCTCACCCCCAGATCCAGGCCGCTGAGCTGTGTGGTGGGATGAAGGGACCTGGCGGGCTCCAGATGAGGGGAGCAGACGTGTATCCGTGGGGACCAGCCCGCGGCCCTTGGCCGAGAGCGCAGCTTTCCTCAGACCCACCTTGCTGGTTGCATGGGGTCAGACCACGCGTTTTGGGCCCGGGTAGTCTCTGGGCCCTCCCGGCGGCCCCAGCCTGCAGCCCCTGCTTCTGCGCTGCTTTGGGCCTCGCGGGTCTTTTTCCCACCTGTGCTCTTACCTCAGTGTTCAAGTAGTGGTGACAGATGGGCTCAGAGGGGGCCGGCCTCACCAGGCTGGACCCTGCCGGCCTCTTCCTGCACCCCCTCCTCACCTCTGTCTCCTTCCGATCTGTAGTCACCACGGAAACGAAGGATTGGGACTTGGGCATATAGGACAGCGTGACTCCACCCTCGGCCCTAACCTCGCAGAGCCAGTCTCCCGGGGAGAGGGCTTGCCCCTCCGTTGGGGGGTCCCGAGGCGGGAGAGTGAGTATGGTGGCCCCGTGTGCTCCAGCCTGACTCTCAAGGACATGAGGGGCTCCAGGACAGCCTGGAGCAGGGTGAGGCTGCAAGGGCAGGGCCCAGAGGAAGGAGCTGGGGCCAGGTGTGTGCTCCCGCATGTGGACGTCGGGCAGAGAGGGTCTCTGTCGCTGTGTGTGTGCGCTGAAGGGGGTGTGACCGTGTGCCCCTGGCTGGGCAGCAGATGGGCCCATGCCCGGGGACCTGGGCCCTGGCTGCCATCTGGTCAGCGCAGCGCATCCTGAGTGCACCTCCGTCCCGTCATTGCAGGTGAGCCACCAGCTGGGCAGCGTCATGGACCTCTTCACCACCAGCCTGTCCCTCGCAGGCCTGGTGCCGCCCAGTGACAGGGTGATCGACGGCCTGGACCTGCTCCCCGCCATGCTCTGGGGCCAGCTGACAGACAGGTGGGTTCCAGCCAGGCACTGGCCCCCCAGCACCAGGTGACAGAGCCAAGCCTAGCTGACAAAGCAGTTTTCTCCCCCAGCTGGCTCGGGGCAGGGGGAGGACGTGAGGGGCGAGTGCCCTGGCCCTCCAAGACCATTCCCAGCACCTGGGGCTTGGGGGCGCGCCCAGGCCCAGCACTCGGGGCGGAAGGACGCGGGAGGGAGGGCAGACTGTCCTGCCCCAGAGTCACCAGCCGCCCGGCCCCGGCCCCGGCCCCGGCCCGAGCTCCGCCCCTGCTGGACCCTTCGTGTCCAGACTCAGCTTCTCCCTGGCTTGAGACCAGCTGCTGTTCTGCTCAAACAAAACGAGGTTCCCAGGCTGCTCCGAGGGATGTGAATTCTGAAACACTAAGTCGTGTAGCAGGGGAGGCAGCCCCACTGCCCTCAGAGCCACCCGCGGCCTTGGCTTTAGGGCGCGGATGAGACAGTATTGTTAGGTGTTTGCAGCGTTGTTTGTCTTTTCTGTCTTGAACTCTGGACAAGAGCTGGTTTACGGTGGGGAGGGGGTGCAGGTGGTGGTGGTCTTAGCAGGTTGTCTGCCCCCGAGGTGAGGGCTAGAGCCGCTCTCCTCCTGCCACCAGCTTCACCCCCAGGGCCGAGAGCCAAGGGGACCAACCATGGGGCTCACCCTTCACAGCCTGGTGGACCTGTTCACCCTTGTGGCCAGTCTGAGCCCAGCATGGTCGTTTCTGTAACATGTCAGCATAACTGTGCGCCCACAAGTTTCTTATGTTTCCTGACCCTTTTCTTTCTTCCCCAACAGGCCAATATTCTATTATCGTGGCAACACACTGATGGCAGTCACCCTTGGCCAGTACAAGGCCCACTTCTGGACCTGGACCAATTCCTGGGAGGAGTTCAGACAGGTAAGAGGGCTTGGGGTGCCGTGGACTCTGCACCCCCAACACCTTGTCCTTAGGAGGACACCTCTGGACAGCGCAGGCCAACAGGCGGTCAGGACCAGAGGCCTCTGCAGACGGCTGGTGGCCACAGGGCTCTCGTGCTCACCACCTTACTTGTGGGCCTCCAGACTCACTGTGGCAGCAACCCCCAGCCTCTACCAGAACACTCTCAATAAAGGGCATGGCAGAGCCCTGTCCCCTGGCCTGCACTCTTGGCACCAGTCTCCTCCAGGCACCCCCCAGCCCTCCCAGCTTGTGTGCAGGGTCCCCGCACCTGCTCTCCCTCCCCACAGCCGAGCCCGTCCTTTCTTCAGGTACAATCTCAGCCATCCTGAGCACCTGGTACCCCATCTCCTATCAGGCAGGGCTGCACATGGTTTGCCCTTTAGGTGCTCAGAAGCTAAGAGGTCATAGGAGCACCCAAAAACCCAGAGCCTGGCCGTGTGGGCTTGGGGGCGGCTGTGTGGCCTCACTTCTGTCTCTGGCCCCACTGTCAGCTGCCCAAGAGTCCAGATGGCACAGGAGCAGCCACCCGTCAGGCCTCCCTGGGGCTCCCTAGCCCTGCAGGCTCTTGGGGCCCCTTGGGTCAGGGTCCAGTGACCCCCGGCCCAGATGAGACCTGTCCCAGCTTCCACGCGGACTGAAACCCAGAAGAGCTGGGGGAGCTTCTTTCAGAAAGGGTGTTGGGAAAGTGCAGAAGGTTCTGCAGGTGGAGCAGCTCCCCGAGTGACCAGTCCTGTGTTTATGGTGGGCCAGGAAATATCGGGAGAGGCCGTCCCCGCCTGCGGACACAGGGCTCCCTCTCCCTCGGGGTTGTTGCTTGGCATAGCTTCTGAGTTCTCAGCAGATGAAGCACACGGTTCTTTTCTCCTCTGTGTAGAGGTTAGGGGAGTCTCTGCCTGGGGGGCAGCTGCCCGGTGGGGGAGTGGGCTGACGGTTGGCTGTTCTGATGGCCCTTCTCCCTCCAGGGGTCACTATGACCCAGGGGGCGTGTGAGGGTGCGAAGGGCCCAAGAGGTAAGGGTGACAGCATCCTCGCGGCCATCGGCTGCTCCCTGGAGCACCAGGGGGATGGCAGGCCACCTCTTCCCAGCCTTTCCAGGTGCTGACATGCTGCGGGCAGCTTTGTTCAGAAGCCATGGGGCTGCCCTGCTGGGGCACAGCCAGGCCCAGGCAGGCTCCCAACCTGAGGGACAGGCCTGGGGGTACGTGTCAGCCAGGGTGTGCGGGTTTGTGGTCCTGGCTTGGGAACCACCGACAGGCCTGGAGATACATGTCAGCCAGGGTGTACGGGTTTGTGGTCCTGGCTTGGGAACCACCTGCATGGACCTTGTTAGCTTCCCAGCTGTACCCTTGTTCCTGGGCCCTGGCCACACCCCAGGTCAGGCTTTCCCATTCCCCTGGGGCTGGCTGAGCAGGAAGGGCAGAGGAGGACGGAGGGACCAGCTTCCCTGTGCCAGCCCAGAGCACAGCAGGAGTGGGGTACACATGTGCACGTGACCTTCTGCACTTTTGGACTACATCCCACACTTACCTGAGTGCAGGGCTCCAGGGGCCAGGGCTACGGAGAGGCAGGTGTGCCCCGCTCCCCATGCCCCGCTCTGCGCACAGCCCTGGGCTCCAAGGGAGAAGGGGCCACTGGAGCTGGCTCGGCTCTGATGCCCCATGGGCACGCCCTCCCTCACGGGACAGCAGTCATAAGGGAAATTCTGTGCAAATTAGCAGCATCTTAATTAAATAGCGTATTTGATTTGCATCCAAATGAGGATTTGTGTGTTCTGTCTAGACCGTTAGTTACCAGCCTTTTTGTGCTAGAAGTGGCGGTTCTCCCACTGTCGAATCAATACGTGTTCTCCAGCACTTCTGCGCCCAGACGGTCAAGGGGTCACCCGCTTTGGGACCCACTTGGGCATCTGTCATTGGCTGCCCTCTCCATCTTCGATTCTCCTTATTTTTCCAGCCACCGATTCAAGAATCACAGCTCGGTGCAGATAAATGAAATTTCACGGGTTCCTTACCTCCCTGCTTTATTGAAAAGCAGAATATTACCTGCTCCACTGACCAGCAGTCCATGACAGACACGGGGTGGGGGTCACACACAGGGGGGTTGCCCCTTGACTGCACTGGGGCCTGCAGAAAGCCTTCCAGTTGCTCGTGGTTGAGAAGCGAGTGGCACACGTCTGTCCCCCAGGCCCCAGTTCTGGGGTTCACGTGCACAGGTCACAGCCACCTCTCCAGACCCTGTAAGCCGTGTCCTGTGTTGGCTGAAGACTGGAGCCAAGCTGCTTGTGGGGCCCTGGGCTCACCAGGGCGTCAGGATTCCGGCTTTTCCTGTTTCCAAGTCAGGGAGTCCCGCAGCCTGCAAGCCTTGGGGACAGAGCTCCAGGCCGTGAGCGCAGCAGCTTTGGGAGGGAGCCGCAGGACCATCCCAGGTGCTCACGCCACACGCTGACCTCAGAAGCTGAAGCTGCCCCCCCCCCCACAAGAGGACCCCTGAGGGCAGGGGTGGCCTGGGGAGGGTGTGGAGCTGGGCCTGTCTGAAGCACACGATCTGCCCTCCTTTGTCCTCGAACATGTCAGCAGTAGTCCGTTTCAGTCCCTGCTGTTCCCGGGGTGTCTGGGCCGCCGCCATGGGCCTCTGTCTCTTCCTGGCCTCCGAGGTGGCCCAGGAGCCTTCAGGGAGTGCTGAGCACGGAGCACTGCGGCCGCAGGAGGCAGACCAGGTGGGGTGGCTTTGTCCTGGAAGCTCCCAGATGGGCTAAAATAGTTTATGTATTTTGTTTAAGCGGTAGCACTTTTTTTTCTTTTTTTCAAGATTTTATTTTTTAACCAATCTCTACACCCAACGTGGGGCTCAAACTCACAACCCTGAGATCGAGAGTTAACATGCACCACCAACTGACCCAGCCAGGTACCCCAAAAACATTTTAAAGAGAGTCACCTCCCATCCCCCAAGAAAGGGGTACACTGGGGTACTAAAAACACAGGCATGAGCGCTCAGCGGCTTCGAGGCCAGGGATGTGGGAAAGACGTCATCCTACAGGAGGCCTCCTCCATCGCGCTCAGCCCCAGAGCACTCACTCGTGCGTCCTGGGACGCAGCACACGGGAACGGGGAGCTCCTGCCTTGCGGGGCATGGCATGGCCACTGCTGTCTGGGCTCCTGGGGCACGGGCGCACGCACACACACGTGCAGGCACACACAGGTGCACACACACGCGTACACGCGCGTGCATGCGCACAGCCCTCACCACCCTCCCGGCCTCTCGTTTCAGGGTGTTGATTTCTGCCCTGGGCAGAATGTCTCTGGAGTCACCACCCACACACAGGAGGAGCACACAAAGCTGCCGCTAATCTTCCACCTGGGACGAGACCCGGGGGAGAGGTACCCCCTCAGGTGAGCCGGGGCGCGGGGAGGCCTTTGAGCTGCTGAGAAGACGTTGGCTGGGCCCAGCCAAGTGCAGGTGCTCACCAGCGGGCTGGCTGTTAACAAAGAGTCAAATGCACGTCTTGAGCTCTTGGAGACGCAGAAGAGCACAAAGCAACACACGGGGGCCTCCTGCCCCCAACAGGTGCTCCAGGCCTGTCCTCTGGTGTCTGCCTTGGCCAACGCTGCCTCTTCCAGCACTGTGCCCTGGGTGGCCTGCTTTCCTCGGGTGCTCCCATCTGCCTGCCATCTGTCTCCCTCTCCCACGGGTCCATGTGACCCCCACCTGGGCTGCCTTCAGGGACGGCTGCACTGGGGGCTTGAGGGTCCGGGTGTGGGGTGGACGAAGAAGCTCTGTGCATGGCAGGCAGCACCAGCTTGGGAAGATCCACCCAGGGGCTCCTGCCAGTGAGGCTCTGGGACGGGGCCTTGCCGTGCCATCCAGAACACTTGAGACACTGCCTGGGACCTCTGTCCAGCTTTGAGGCCCGGGACCCTGGGAAAGAAACAGGTGTGCCCACACCTGCATCCACCGGAACCTCACACGTGGTCTTATTGGCAGTAGGGACTTTGTAGGGGTAGTTAAGGTGAGGGTCGAGGTGAGGTTGTCCTGGATTAGGGTGGCCCTACCTCCAATGAGAGTATCCATGGGAGACAGAAGAGGGGACACAGACACGGGAGAGGCCACATGAAAACAGAGGCAGAGATGAAGGGACATGATCACTGCCAAGGGACCCCTGGAGCTTCCCAAGGGGGGTACGTTCCTGCCTGGATCTCAGACTCCAAGCCTCCAGAACTGGGAGGGAAGAGATTCCGGTGGTCTAAGCCCCAGTCTGTGGCCATTTGTTACGGACGCTCCAGGACACTCACAGGTGGGAGCTGGGAGCCCCTTGCGGTTATCACCGACCACAGGTTTGGAGCCCAGGGCCACGTGTGAGTGGGGTTGGGGATCAAGGTAGACCAGGGGGAGGCTGGGAGGAAGCAGTCTGAGCGCCCCTCCTGCCCCTGGAAGTAACTTCAGAGCCAAGACCCAGCAGGACCATGGGAATGGATGGCAGGGCCCAATTTCTGGAGGAGCCTGACTGCCCCCAGGGTCCCCCAGAAGTCACACGTGTCCCTGTCACACTTGTGCCCATGCTCCAGACAAGGAGACCCAGGCAGATCTTGCCGATGAGACTGCTGAACCTAGCTTAAGCCAGTCCTTCCCAGTGCGTCTGGCCAGAGAATCGTGGAAAGACTGGACACAGGCCTTGAGACCTGCTTTGAAAAGCTTGCAGGCGTTGTGTGCAGTGAGCACAGGCTGCCGGACAGGGTAGAGGGCCTGAGGAGCAGGGCTGACCTGGGAGTGCCCCAGTTGCAGATCCAGAGACTGTGGTGAGCAGGGCAGGACCCACTGCTCCACTACACAAATCTGGGCCAGAGGGACCGAGAAAGCAGAAGGTGCTAGTAGCCTGCAGAGATCTGGGTCTGCTCGGGGGTGCACGTGACCCTGGCGGTGCCCTTGGTGGTGCTGGCCGGGGCTCAGGCCCTGACTGGTGAGGCAGGAGTCGTGGCCGCTGTGCCTGCAGCCTCATTTGTGGGGAAAGTTCCCGAGGTGCACGCCTACTCCTGGGCACAGGAGGTAGAGGTGGGGGCCGCTGGCTGGCGGCTCCATCAGGGAGGGATCCCTCACTCCCCAGGCCCCTTCCCGACCTACTTAGGTGGCCCTACCTTAATGGCCTGCCGGGGCCTCCCTCCCTCAGTGACCTGGCACTCTTGCCTCCAGCTTTGCCAGCACTGAGTACCTGGATGCCCTTCGCGGGGTCACCTTGGTTGTCCGGCAGCACCAGAAGACCTTGGTCCCTGGACAGCCCCAGCTCAATATGTGCAACCAGGCCGTCATGGTAAGTGCTTGATATGCCACGGGCTGCCGATGCTGGGAGGGTGTCCCTGGGGCTGTGTGACGTCTGCACGCCCCAGACCCTCACCCATAGACTGGAGCTGTTGTGCCTCCGGAGGCTGCTGGGGCTGTGGGCTCGAGCCCCCCTTCTGTCCTACTGCTCTGGCGCAGACCTCACAGGTGGGGCAGGGGGTCGCTTGGCTCCTCTGCAGGCGTGGATACTCTGGGCTTATGGGCTGAAGGTCCTGTCAGGGACAGACCTCCTGGAACCCTGTGGGCGCTCGCCTGCAAGTCCTGTCCCTGTAACTGTGTGTGTGTGTGGCACCCCGCTCCACAAAGATGGGTGATTTCTGGTGTCCCAGTGTCAGAACCTTTGGCCGCACCCCAAAACCCACCGAGCACCGTCAGGATGGCGTAGCCCAGCATTCCATCTGGATGGCCCCTCTCCCCGAGCGGCCCGCAGACCTGCACAGTGGTTTGGAGAGCAGCTGAGCATGTCGAAGCTGCCACGTGGATTCCAGCCTGCGCTGAGGAGCCAGTGCGGCGTGGGGGAGCGTGTGCTAGGAAGACCGAGTCGGGCATTAGCAGCGTCTTCCGGGCGCTGGGCATGATCATAGGGCAGGCAAGGCTGCCTCGTTAGCCAGGGCCAGTGTGGGGGTGGCCTTGTCTCTGCTGTCCACACATGGGGTTTCGTGTCCTGAGGCTCCCCACAGAAGGACATTCAGGGCAGAAGCCAGCAGGGCTGCCTTTTTCCCTCAGAGGGGCGGGTCCGCCCTGTGAACTCACAGCAGTGCAGCAGAAGGTCCCTGTTTCAGGACCACCAAGGTGCCTGGGGTCCAAGGAGCCTGAGAGCCCCCCACACCCACTCCAAGCCCCGTTTTTAATCTTTCTGTGAAAGCGAGCTGTCCCCACCCCCAGCATGCCCTCTGTCAGCGAATGCATGTGGTGCCTGCCCAGGCTGGGGCTCCAGGTGGCAGCGTCCTTGCTCACCGCGTGCAGATGTAGCAGATGTGAGGGTGGAGGGACCTGGCTGGGGCGCTGCTGCAGCTGGCTGACCCCTGGACCCGGAGAAACTGGGGGACCAGCCCTCCCCCGCAAATCCCACAAGTGAACTGAAGGCAGACCAGAGCAGTGTGGATCAGCCTCCAGAATCATGGGTGCTCGCTCTCCCCAGCCTCCCCAGACTGGCAGAGTCTGAATCCTGCACACACTCTGTCACTTTGCTCTGCGTCCAACGTTGAGAATAGCTTCCTTATCCAAAGCCTGCCCTGCCCCAGCGGCCGGCCCCACCCTGCATGGGCAGCCAGAGGCCACATAATGCCATGCAGGGCAGGAGAGACCTTCGCCAGGTTCTCACTGCCCTTGATGTTCTGATTCAGTAACAGCTTCTGAGGCCCCCTGTGGGGGGAGTGCCCCCAGGGTGATTCTGAGTCTCCCTACCAAGGCACAGGGACACTCCATGGGCAGTGGGGGGACATGGCGAAACAAGGAAGGCTCCCTCCTCTGGACCGGGAGAAATATGGCCATATAGAGCAAGTGTGGACATTCACGTGCCCCGCCAAGGGGCTCCCCTGAAACAGGCCAGCTGTTGTTGAAACGTGGCGATCGATACAGCAGGGCCGGTGGCTGCCCGGCAGCGGCTCCTCACCCTGAAGCCAAGGAGGCGATGGGGCAGGGCAGGAGTCGGCCACTACTGAGCCCAGAAGGGCGCAGAGCAACTTCATGTTCTCTCTTCTCGTTGCCAGAACTGGGCGCCCCCAGGCTGTGAAAAGTTAGGGAAGTGCCTGACGCCCCCGGAGTCCATCCCGGAGAAGTGCTCCTGGCCCCACTAGTACCTGTGGGCGGGAGGACTCTTGCCTCAGGGCTCCCGCGCTGGAGGAGCCCCGCTGCCCTCTGCCCTGCCCACACCAGACACACCTCATCTGCCACCAGCAGCAGGACTTGCAAGGCTCCACGTGCCCAAGACCTAGTCCTGGCGTCTCTCAGCCCCCCTGGCCCGGCTGACCCTGCCACGGTGACCCCAGCCCCAGAGCTGAATGCTGCCCTCTGGCTTCCTCCAGCGTCCTGCCTCCATCCCAGGTTCCAGAGGACGTGGCTGCGACCCGAGTCTCGCTGTCACAGTCGGCCGTGCCAACCCTGTATTGGCCCCTTGGTCCTATGCAGAGGGTCCCCCTGCACCCCTCCATGGTGGGGTTGTGAACCTGGAGGGGGATCCTGACAGCAGTCAAGGAAGGCCCCCCTGGTCCAGTGGGGACCTTGGTCTTCCACCTTCCTCAGGGATCCTGACCCCAGTACCCTGTGGGGCAAGTCAGTGCCTCAACAGCTGCCCTGCCGACCCTCCTCCCCTGGGCTCCTGGTGTGGCCTACCGCGAGGGGCCTGAGCAAGCGGGTGTAGACTTCCACCTTACCGCACCCTCCCCGTCCCTGCCCAAAGGCTTGTGTAGCCGCCTTCCGTAGAGGGGGGTTTTCACGTCTCTGCGGGGATTGTGATGCCAAAGCTGCACCGTTGTAAGACTCGGGAAATTATGAAGAAAAGTTTTAGAATAAAGGTACAGGCATTTTTTTTTTTAAGAGCTGGATTTTTGCGGAGGTTGACGGGACGGGGAGCTGTGCGCAGGAGCGCAAATTGCTGCGTCCAGCCCCGGGCTGCCGAGCCACCGCCCGCCTCCGCTGAGGGGGCGGTGCTCTCGGGCGGCCCTGGCCTGCCTTCCTCCCAGACTTTCCCGGGGCCGGCCCCACCCCTCCAGGCCCCGGCGCCCCCGCCCCTCGGGCTTTCCCCGGGAGCCCGGCCGGGCCTGCGTAGACGCCGATTTCGCCCCCCGGGCGCGCGCAAACCACCCTAGGCGGAGACGCGTTTGTTCAGGGTACAGAAAAACAAGAGCGCCTTAACAACGTTGGCACCTAAGATTCGATGAAATACGGTAGTTCCTGCGGGCGGGGGCGGGGGCGGCGGCCCCGCCCCACAGTCCGGCTCCGTTTGCAGGCGCTGAGCGCAGGCGCAGAGCTGCCGGCCCCGCCCCCAGTCGCCGAACGTCGCTCCCCGGTTGCCGCGCTGGCTTCCAGATGGCGGACCCCGAGCTGCAGCTGGTGGCGGGGCGCATCCGCAGCTTCCCGGACTTCCCCGTCCCGGGGGTGCTGTTCAGGTGCGGGCCGGCCGGACACGTGGTCCGCGCGGACTGACGGACGGACGGACGGAGCGGGGCACGGGAGGGTGGCGGCGCGGGGCCGAGGCCCGACCCCTGGGGTCACCGGGCCTGCTCTTGCGTGCCAGGGACATCTCGCCCCTCCTGAAGGACCCCGACTCCTTCCGCGCCTCCATCAGCCTACTGGCGAACCACCTGAAGAAGACCCACGGCGGCAAGATCGACTACATCGTGGGCAAGCGGAGGGGCCGAGCGGAGGGGCCGGGGGCGGGTGCCTGAACCCCAGGGGGACGCCCCGGGAGGCCGTGAGGTTGGCGGGGTCGCCGGGTCTGCGCCAGGTCCCGTGAGGGTGGCGTGTGCGCTCCCCTCCCCCGAGCAGAGCGAACACAGGACGGACGCCCCGCGTTTGCTTGGGAGGGGCTCGGGGGACGACCCTCAGGGGACACGCCGAACGCTGCACGGGTGTTTGGGTGGGTTGTAAGGATGGACCCGCTGCGCCTCACGTTGCAGCCTGAGGGTGGGTACAGCCTTGGGTGGCGCGGCGGAGGGCAGCGTGTCCCCCCCCACCCCACCCCGCCAAGTTCCTGGCCCTCAGCTCCGGACACGTGGGGCCCCGCGGCTGAATTTCCCCAGGGAGGGTCTGACCAGAGATCCCCCTCCAGTGTGTATTGAGCCGCGGGCCGGGCCCTTTCCCCATGCGCACCCTGGCAGGTCTTGTCCCTGTGCGAGCCCTTCCTCTGGCCCTCCAGCGGCTCCCCACGTCTGGGAGGGACCACAGCCTTCCACTTGGCTGAGTCCTCCAGGGGGTTCCTTCTGGAAGCCGCCCCCACTGCACCCCTGGGTGGGGTGGGGGCCTGCACTGCCCCTTTCCGGGCAGGTGTTGCTTTTAAGGATGACAAGAGGTGTCTGAGTCGGATCCACGGTCACTGCTAGCCCAGTTAGAGACGAGGAGAAGTCAGGTCCCTTCCCTGAGGCCACGCAACCACGTTCAGGCCTGTGCCAGACACACCTGGTCCTTGGCCCCGGCTCCCGAGCTCCCGTCAGCACCCAGCAGTTCCTGTGCCCAATGGGTGCAAGAGGATGGATGTCGTTGGTCTTGTAGCTGGAGCTGACAGAGCCAGGGGCTTTCTGTCAATGCAAAAGCTCCGTGTCCTCTTCCAGCACTGGCCCACGGGGATCTTGTGCTGCCGTGCCCCACAGCTGCCCCTTGACACCCCAGCTCTCGCCAACAGGCCTGGACTCCAGAGGATTTCTGTTCGGCCCCTCCTTGGCCCAGGAGCTTGGCTTGGGCTGTGTGCTCATCCGAAAACGAGGGAAGCTCCCTGGCCCCACTGTGTCTGCCTCATACACTCTGGAATACGGCAAGGTGAGTGGGCTGCGTGTACCGCTGCCTTTGACCCTTGGGTCCCCCAGGGATAGTGGCCTAGTGTGGGGCCTAGTGGGGTCTAGTGGCCCTGCCGTGGGTGGTGCTCAGCCTGAGATGCCAGGCTAGCTCACGCAGCCGGGAAACCGCTGGGTGGGTTGAGAATGGGGCCCAGACTGTGGGGCGTCCTGTCAGCATCACCTCCCAGGCCATTTTCAGACACATGCAGACCGTGGGCCTGCTTCCCATCCCTAGGCTGAGCTGGAAATCCAGAGAGACGCCCTGGAGCCGGGGCAGAAGGTGGTTGTCGTGGACGATCTGCTGGCCACTGGCGGTGAGGGTCTCCCCCCAGCAAAGAGGGCCTGGCAGGAGGGCTGTTAGGGCTGGAAGAAAGCGCCTCACTGCAGGAGTGAGAAGTGGACTGGGGCCCCGGCACTCTACAGTTTACCCGTGAGCAGCAGGACCCTGCACGGGCCATTGGGAGCCTTGTCACCATACCAACCCCCTTCCCCCGCCCCCGCCCAGGAACCATGCGGGCAGCGTGTGAGCTGCTGGGCCAGCTGCAGGCCGAGGTGCTGGAGTGCGTGAGCCTCGTGGAGCTGACATCGCTGAAGGGCAGGGAGAAGCTGACGCCTGTGCCCTTCTTCTCTCTCCTGCAGTTCGAGTGACTCTGGCCCCATCCTGGCAAGGAAGAGGTCCAGCCCGGTGGCTGGCTCTGGCCACCAGGGGGCGCCGGCCATCTGCCTGGATTTTTTTTTTTTTTTCAATTTTGTAACTGTTTTCTGCAGTTTTTCCAGGGCCTAGGCCACCGTCGGGGTCCTTCCTGCAGGCTCTGGGGGTGCCAAGGCCTGGAGCCAGCGGTTCCAGCTGGGACCCAGCCCCAGGCCCCTGTAGGGGCACTCACAAACACCGAGAGAAGTGAATAAACTGCTTTGCTAGAATGGCTGCTCTCGGTCCAGGTGCCAGGGTGGGGTCTGGGCTTGGGGCCAGGACATGCTGGAACCCCCCCATGGCAGGCTGCAGAGGCCTGTCTGTGGCACCTTGTGGTTGTCCTCACAGAGGGCAGACAGGAGACTAGTGTGGCTCTGACAAGTCACGCCCCTGGGGCGGCTTCCAGATGCAGGAAGTGCCAGTCCATGTTGCTGGGGCTGGTTCTTTCAGGGGGCTCCAGGGAGACCGTCTCCTTGGCTTTCCCAGCTTCTAGAGCCTCGGGGCCTGCCCTTCATTCTCAGAGCCAGCGGCTTACCACCCTCCAGGCTTGCAGTCTGTCTCCCTTTTACAAGGGTCCAGCAGGGACACCAAGCCCACTGGACCATCCAGGATTCCCACATCGACGTCCAGGGGGGCATTCTGCCAACTGCCTGACCTCCTGTCCCACTTCCCTACACCCCAAACACAGCAAAGGCAAAGTCCCCAACAGAAACCAGTTTAATGACGATATGCTGCACCGGGGGAGGCTTACTGCCCAGAGAGCCTGGTGGGGAGTTCAGAAGGGAGAAAAGTGCATGGTGTTACTAAAGGGAGTAAAACAGACACAGCGGGCCAGGCCGGGGACCTGAAGCCCATGTCTGCGAGGTGCTCACAGCGCCGCCTCCGCACGGGCAAGGCGGGCCAGCCGTGTGATGACACCTGCCAGGTCAGCAGCCTTGTCCAGCTTGACGTAGGTGTCTGTGCGGATGTGGTGGAGGCTGAGCCAGTCGGGCAGCAGCTCGGAGAGGAGCAGCACGTGCTTCTCCATCTCCCCTGCAGACGGAGGGGTGTGTGAGGCTGGGGCCCAAGCACATCTGAGTGGATGCTAAGCCCCCACAGGGTGGGTGTCCAGGCCCTGTCAGCAGGCCTTCCTTAGGACCAGCCCTGCCCCTCTTCGCCCATACCCGCCAAGCCTGTCTGTGCCCCCGAGAAGCAGAGTGAACAGTGGAAAGATGGGGGACAGCCTTGCAAGGAGCTGACCCTCCCACCGAGCCCCACGCCAGTCCCGGTCCCCAGGAGGGAGCTGCCGGTCTCGTGGGGCGTGGGGCTGTCCGAGGGGCTGCAGGGTGACTGGCTGGGTTGTGAGCACAGAGGCTCGAGAAGTGACCTTAAGGGCACTGTGCCCACCCGGCACACACCACAGGCCCCACACGTGTGGGGAGCAGCCAGTCCACGGCGCCCACCCTCACCCAAGAGCCGGGGACCCAGGGAGGGCCCAGCACACACCGGGGCTCATGGCTGCAGGGTAGCTGCCCAGCATTCTGCTGCAGGCCACCTCCATGGTGAGTGCTGGCTTCCGCGCGGACACGAAGACGCCGCGCAGCACGCGGGCCAGCTCAGGCAGCCGCTCCAGCCTCTGCAGCCGCTTCTCCTGCTCTGGCCGGCGTGTCATCTGGGCCAGCTGCTTCTGTTTCTCCTTGCACCGGATCTGCAGGGGGCCCGGGGTGGGGGTGGGCGGCGGTCAGTGCAAGGCCAGCCCTGCAGCCCCTCTGCCGGGACCCCCAACACTCACCCTCTCCAGCAGGTCCTGGGACACCCCCCTCAGGGCCACAGGTGGGGTGGCCGGCGGGGCGGCCGGCGGGGCAGGGCTGGGGGACCCAGGGCTGCTGGGCTGGGCCGTACGCAGAGCCAGGTCACTCAGGGCCTTTTCCATCTGCGGCAGGTCAGACGGGAGAAATGAGGAGCAGCCTCCCCTGCCCAGGAGTCGCTGTCTGTCCAGCCCAAGCACCCTGTGCGTCCAGGCATGAGGGGAGGGCACATCCCGCCACCCATGAGGCATTTGGCCAAGGATGGAGCCTGTCAGGTGCCCACGTGGAGGTCGGGCTGCCCTGCCCCGTCATCCCGGACACAGTCTCACCCTGGGTGACATGAAGCTGCGGGCACGGGCCAGCACCTCCCGGGCGGTGGTCAGCTTCTCTGTGGTGGGCGGCTGGGGCAGCTCGGCCGGCTCGATGTCAGGCACCTCGTCCACATTGAAGCGCGGGTGCCACCGTGTGAGCTGGTCCTCGGGCACCACCATGGGAGGGTCCAGGGAGGCCAGGAAGGCCTGTGTGTAAAGGGGACAGGGTGTGCCAGGTGACCCTGGGCACATCCGTGGGGGGGTAGGCAAAGCTGCTGGGCTCCTGTCCCAGCAGAGCGACCCTGGGCAAGGTCCTGTGCCTGAGCTCCAGGTGCTCAGCTGGGCCAAGAGCCGGACACAGCAGCCACCAGCACCCACTGAGCCCGTCATGAACCTCTCAGGGCCTGAGGCTGCCATGCTGAGCTCCTCCCCCTCAGCTGACTGGGACCAGGCCCCCCCCGCCCCAGCCCGCACCCACCCTGCAGGAGGCAGCCGTAGGAGGGGCTCAGAGAACTCTAGAGAGGGCCTGGTTCTTGCAGGTAGGACCAAGCCCTGGACAGGAGGAGGGGACGGAGAACAGGGCGGGCTGGGGAGAGGCTTCCTCCAGGGGCCGAGCTGACCATCCCGGGGCGCGCACTCACCCTGTGGTGCTCACGGACACGCTCCACCAGATTCTGGCTGAAGACCTGCCGGCGCTGCAGGAGGCACGAGGCTGTGAGCTGGGGCACCATGCTGCCGGCCTCTGTGGACAGGTTTCAGGCCTGAGCCCCCAGCCCCGAGACCCCGGGTCTCGTGGGAGGCCGGGGACCCGACGCCTAACACCCATGCTCAAAACCGTGGCACTGGTGGGGAACCGGAGGCTCAGGGCTGCATGAACTCAGCCACAGCACACTCACCCTGGTCCAGCAGCGGCTCGATGGTAAGCTGGTAATCAGACCTCTTAACACCGTCCTTGAAGGTGGGGACATTGCGCTCCTGGCGGAAGCGGTAGGAAGTAGGGTACACAGTTCTGATCTGGCCAACATTGCGCTCCTCAAAGCGCCTACGGGACAAGGTGCTGGGGTCAGAGCGCCCAGTAGGGCACACGGCAGACTCCACAGGCAGGGGGAGGGCCCCGCCCATGGCGGGCCACTCACTTGCGCATCATGTCCTGGACGCCCTGCTTGACTTTGGCAAAGGTCACGGTCTCGGAGCGGTTGTAGAGCATGCCCACGATGGTGTCCATGCTGCGGAACATCTCCGCCAGCACCTGGTACTTGTAGGGCAGCACGAGGCTCGGGGGCCCCGGCTGGGCCAGGGCATGGAAGCGCTGGTAGGCAGGGGCCTTCTGTCCACTGCCAGGGAGGGATCCAGGCGTCAGGGGAAGCAGCAGACCCACACCCCTCCAACACCAACAGCAGGCAGGCAACGTGGCCAGGGAGACCCCAGAGCTGGGGCTTGAGAACCACTCCCATGACACACCACACCCCGTTCCCACAGCCCCCGCACAGCCCGTGTCCCCATCATGCACACGGCTGGAAGTGCAGACAGAAAGGCATAGCTCCAAAACTAGCCATGTCCTGCCTGGTCACCTAGGGAAGTCCCTGGCCACCCCCAACCCCGGTTCCCTCATCTCTAAGAGTCACTCGATGACCACAGGAGCTGGGGAGGACAGACATGGCTACACGGGACAAATACCCAATAACGGTGAGCTGTTGACAGCATCTGAAGCTCACAAGGGCCCCCCGCGGCAAGAAGTGGCACCACTCACAGATGGAGGCCAGGGTGCGGAGCTAGCCAGTGGCAGGGCTGGGATCCGACAGCCTCCACACCTGCACGGGCTCCATGGAAGGGGCAGCCCTGGCCTCTACCAGCCCTGTCCGCCCACCAGCCTAGCCTTTCCTCCGGTGCCTGACCGCCCACCCAGGACTCACCATGGCCCTGCTGGGTGCCCCTGGTCCTCGGGCACGCTGAGTTCCCCAGCATCCTTCCTCTGCGCACTTGCCCTTAGCTCCTGGGCCCGGGCCCCTAGCTCCCGTGCCCGCTGTAGGCACGACTTGAGCTCAGAAAAAGTGACTTTTGAGGAGGCCTGTGGACACGAGATGCCTTCAGCTGGCCATTCACACCCACATCACTCTACCTCCCCCACCCTGGGTCCAGCCGCACCTTCTCCTGAGCGGCCAGGCAGGGCTGTAGACCTGCTGAGAGAGGGGCCTGCTCTGGGGAGCCGGGGGCAGCGGGGACAGTGGGGTCAGCCACGTCAGCAGGGGCAGCCGGATCAACAGGGGCAGCGGGGGCAGCACAGACAGTGGGGTCAGCCAAGTCAGCGAGGGCAGCTGGGGCAGTCGGGTCAGCCGGGTCGGCGGGATCGGAGACCTGGTGGGCAGAACGCCAAAGGTGAACGAGAGACTAGGACTGCGGTGAAAGGGATTCCTACCTCCCGCGGCGAGCTTAGAATACGCGCTGCTGGGGGCCCAGTGGAGGTTTTTGCTGGAGTTGAGCCAGAGGGGCGGGCCCATCGCCTGCTTCCCGTTCTTCTCCGGCCTGACCCCTCGCCCAGGCTTGCAGGCAGGCCAGACATCTACCGGCCCACTGAGCCCTGGCCCTCCTCACGCCAGCACCTCTGCGCCCTCGCTGCGGAGCTCTGTGCCCGGTTCTTGCGGCGGCCACAGCACACCTGCCCCCTGCCGTCTGCGGTGACCGGGCCCCAGGCCTTCTCCACTGTCTCTTGCAGCGGCTCCGGGCCTGTTCTCTGCACGGTGCACCGTCTGCAGCCAGACCCCCGATCCGCGTCCCCCCTGCCCCCGCCCCGGTCTCAGTTTCCCCCCACACCGTGTCGGCCGGCAGCCGCAGCCTCCGGCGCGCGGGCGGCGCGGGGTGGTCGCGCGCGGGCTCGGCGGGCGGGCGGGCACGCTTGCGGCTGCCGCCCGGGGTGCGGGCCGGAGCGCCGGGCGCGAGCTTGGCGGGGCTTGGGGTGCGCCAGGCCGGCTTGACCCGCGGCGGCGCGGCGCGGAGCCCCGGG